CAGTATGGAGCCATAGCGGGGAGGAAAGCTCAGTCAAACACCACAGGACTGTGTTGACCACAGGCTGCTAGCAGCTAACAGCTAAGTTAGTTGCTCACAGGTAACGTTAGCGAACTTTGGCAGTAATGAAATGACAGTGTCCTCTCTTTGGATTCAGATGTGACCCAGTGATCAGTTAAAAAATACCCAGACTGGTTCTGATCCAGTTGTTAAGATCTGGATTGGGATATGACTAGCAGGGTTATAATTAGTGGAGTTTGCTTTGTGAATCAAAATTTAAGACAAGGCAGACAGCAGGAACAATGGATGTGCAAGTTTGGTGCCAGTAGCAGCCACTATCTATCCTTTTTGAAATCCCCCCTTTGTAAGGTAAAAAGGTGACAAGCCTTTAAAGTAAATTGGAAAACCAAAATCTTTCTTGTCTGTATTCAGAACATCAACATTGAAGACTATATATCTCTGTTATTATCAATTCGTGTCTAGGAACTTTGTGTGGATGGACGTTCTCGCTGCCTCCACCTACTTGAGGCTGACCAGTGTTCAGTTTGATGACTTGTTAGCGAAGGCATGAAAAGTGACTGTCTCCTAGAGGGACAATTTAAGAGTACCCCACACTTAAGGTAGGTAAAGAGAGATGTTTTTTGAGGTTTGGGTAAAATTGTGTTGTTCCCTTAAATTTTCAACAACAAGGAACAACCAAAAGAAACCCAACTACAAACACTATTTCCGTTGCTGTTTGGACTGCCATAATCACTCAAAGCTCTTGCGAGGAACCTCTAGTTTGTGCTGAATTCTTATCCCGCCCTCTCCGAACAGTCCTATGTATCACTAATAAAGACTTGTTGCTGGAGATTATGTTTGAACAGGCTGTGTTAGCAGTCTGCAGTTAACCACTTGGTCTGACACCTTCCTCCTTCCAATGTATTCTGACATTAAAAATTACAATATAGATAACAGTTACTCCTTTTTGATAGTTTTGTTGACTTTTCTACCTCATAAAGAGTTACCAATATCAATTTCAGCCTGTTTTATCACGGGCTAAAAACTCCTTACACAAGCTTTAAGTACATGACAATAAACTACGAGGCATTCAGCTGGGTTTAAGGCTGAGGAGTTAATTACCAATCTGTTTGGCTGAATGGAGGAGACTCTTGAGCTCTGCTTGCTGCTTCACTTTGTCCTGATGCTCGGTGCAGAAATGGACAATCTTCTGCCATGTCAGGCCCTCTTTGGCAAACAGCTCTCTCCTCTTCAATCGCTTGCTCTGACGTAAAAACACGAAAAGAAAAGCAGTTACCTTTCAATAAAGACAGTAAACCTCGCCTTACCCGGAAAAAACAACACACACACACACAGTTAGCTGATATGTCATGAAGAGTCAGAGTCTTCAGTTTTATGCTGTTTATCCCATTTAACTGAATGCCAACCTTGATTATCTTTCATATCTTTATTCATTAATGTTACATCAATATTTCTGTAATTGTTAGTGTCATCAGCTGGAAAAACATGAACCTTACATTAATCAAATTGAGTCCAAAGCTTAAACATTGGATGTATTAAAAGTTGCACATGAATACTTGCATACTCAATAGTTTTGAGGCAGAGTCAATGTAAATGATCTCCTCTCATTAGAGCAGTGAGGTATTAAAACCAAGCAGGTTTAAGGTTCAGGCTCTACGGTCAGGAGAAGCATTAACTCGGTGATTCGATTTCAATCAAGACCTCCGTGTCTTCTAAAACTAAGCATTTTAACACGAGCCGAGAGATAACCTCACAGTGATTTTGGACATCTTTTCCCCAGTGAAGCACTTTTTCTGCTTAGAGGATTTAACTGGAGGTGAGCCGGGTGGCAGTGAACAGCTGAATACAGCTCCTAATTTTATTCCAGTACTCAGAAAGAGCCAACTGATCAGACATCCATATCACTCACACTTGCTTAACAGTTGGTGTATTATATAGATTTTGCATTAATTGACCGGGTTGTAAAATGGTTTAAGCCCACACAGGATAAGAGGTAAGTACAAAATGGAAAAAGAAAACTTACAAAGTCATGATCAAACCCGCAGAACTTACCCAAAAATCTTTCATCAGAACACAAAGATAATTGTTATAGATAATGTAAAGAATAAAGACACCTAAATTGGGATAAGAGTAACACTGCTCCAGACTCTTTTACAGCAAGAAAAACTCTTTCACACAATCTGAATATCCAGCAAATGTTACACAAGTGTTTCACTCACAGAGACGGTACCTGGGCAGGCCGCCCACATATAATTTTTTGCAATCGTGGTCAGAAGACTAGAATAAGTGCTTTATAAATATAGTCCATTTTAGTTTATTCTTTACAAAATTAATAATCAAAAGCTCAGAATTCCTACTCTGGCTATGTGCTGTAATCTTAAAAGTAAGTAAGTAAATAGACCGTTTCCGTCTTACATAAGGAAGCAGGAGTAAAAATGATTCATCTCTGTCATGTTGCGTTTTTAGTTCAAAATGATGGAAACAGTTGGAAAGTAATCAGATACAAAATGAAGTTTGTTCTAAATCAGTGGTTCTCAAGTCCACTGTCCTGCATGTTTCGGATGTTTCCCTGCTCCAACACACCTGATTCAAATTATCAGCTCGTTATCAAGCTCTGTAATGGCTTAATAACGAGCTGATCATTTGAATCAGGTGTGTTGGAGCAGGGAAACAGCCAAAACATGCAGGACGGGGGCGCGGCGGCGGCGGCTCAAGGACTGGACTTAAGAACCGCTGCTCTAGATGATTTTCCTGTGGAACATCAGCTGTTCTCACCTTCAGATCATAGAGTTGTTCAGTGAAGTCCTCCTTTTTGCTGACAGTGGAGAAGGAGCGCAGCGCACCGGTCAGTCGTGGGGGAGACATCGTTCTCTAGTGTTTTCCTTTGCACACTGTTCCTTCAGTTCTATAACAGGCAAACACAAACAAATATTTTTTATGATGGAAGAAGAGTTTTTGGCTTTAGTTTTTTAATCTTTTTAATTTTGTGAATAATAAAAATGTAATCCAAGAACAATGTCCTTTCTCTAGAAATTCCTGTCATATCAATCCCAGTTTCTTAAGAGTAAAGATGAAGTTAAAAAAAATGTCAAGTCTCTTGTCAGTTTCTTCCTTTAAAGTCAAATCAGTTCAGTCACAAAGAAGCTTCCCAGAGGCCCTCTTAGCTTTACTTTAAATATATTGATTCTGTTGACCTTCTATCTGTTGAAAAAAAATTCTAAAAACAGTTGAATAGTTCATAGACATATGCAGGGGCTTAACAAAGTGTTAGATAATGACTGACTTATTTATTTATTTTTTGCTTTACATAAAACTGAACTTCATATTTTTTTTGCTTGATGTGGTGTATGTATGATTTCCTACACTTCTTTTTTCTTTTTTCTCATATTACCCCTGAGAAATTTTGTTTCGGGCACTCCTGCAATTTTTTTTTCACATCAACATGATGTAGTTACATATCTAGTTTAAAGAAGCCTTTTTAAACCAGTCTCACAGGTAAAGCAGCAATTTGTATAAGTAGCATCATATTAGAGGGATCTAAGTTTTTTGTTTTAACAACAGTCCCACAAACTGCACAAGTTAAAAAGAAAAGAAAAAGCTGCAACAGATTAGCGTGTTTTATTAATTGATTCTTTAATTTTCTTCTGTTAACAGCACTTATTTGGACATTTGTTTCAAACTTGACTTTTGTTTAGCGGCCCAATCATTTTCTTGCACACATGGTATCCTGTATGTCTACAGCCTCAACAGTCCAACTAGATTTATCAGCATTTATCGGAAGCTTTTAGAGCTGTCACACCATAGACTGTAAAGTAACTGTAAAAAGACAGTTGTCATTGTCTGCCCCAGACGGCTCAGAAGAAAGGTCAAAAGAAAACTTTGGTGAAGAAGTTTAAAGTGTGATCAGCCACCAATAAACTTAGCATACGGGTGAAGTTAATCCAACTGGTGTTGATGAGCAACTGCACCACATAAACCCCATGCAAACCCTCAGGTTAGCATACTGAGACCAAACAAATCCAAAAGTAACTAAAACTAACTGTTTTAACAAAATCCTGCGATTAATGTTAGTATAATATTAAACCATAACCTGTTTAGTACAGTTAACCTTAATAATCCCCTAAAAGCTACCATAAATTTGACTGTGATAGCTTAATGAACAAGGAAAATAGTTCTATCATCTGTGGGGTAACTTGGATGTAACCTGTATTAAACGTCCAAATAACTGGGGGATCAAACAGCAGAAACACGGACTGAAACGTTGTTTTATCTAAAGACTGAATGCATTTCCCAAAACGAAGGGAATCAATAAGTACAGGTTATAAACTGATGACAATGCAAGTGCTTCTTAAAGTGACGTGACATCATTTACGTCGTGGCATCGCAGCAGCCGTGAAAAATGTACCCAAGGACTCGTTCTTTGCACTTACTTTTACTTCATATTTTAACATTTTCAAATAAACGAGATATTCTCCCCAACTCTGTTATTGTTGTCTGTACTAGCGAGCTAATGCTAGCTTCTAAGCTTGTCTTCACTTTCCGCTTGGTACTGGCAGTAACACTTTCAGAAACTGTCTAAATAGATCACTCTAAAACATAAAGACATCTGAAATGACATTTCAAACTTTGCATTATATTTACCTTCCCAAACGCCTTCCACTGGACTGTCAGTTACATGTGAGAGTCTCACCGGTAAATGCCAACTAGCCCTGTTTGCACGCAGGGCACTGTGGGAAACGTAGTCTAAAGTCGACAATTACTCCACATCGGGCATTATAGAAGGACTACAATCCCCAAGCGCATAATGTTACGTCACATCGCATAGTGTTTGCTTAGAGTTCCAGAGTACACAGAGTCAAATGTATGCGGAGTTGAAATGGATTGAATAACGAGGTACAACATTGCGGAACAGAAGTAACAGTCTGAAATCAAGGGTCGAAAGTGGTGCTTTTCACGGCCTTATTTCTTGTTGTGGAGTTGTACAATTTACACCGGGTAGTTTCAGACAAGACATCGGATGGCTGACTCCACCCGGGTGTCAGAGTGGCCCGGTATTAAAAAGAAGCTCAACTTCTGATAAGGTAAGTTTAGTAAGAAACGAAACTTTTGCCGTGGATAAGAAAAAAAAATTCCCAATATGCACACATAATAATAATATTTAGGTTTTACAGTAAGTCCTGTCTTCCAGAAATGTATGAACCAGTTTACATTTATAATTTTTCTGTGTATTCATTATGTTATTAGAGATTTTTGTGTGGAGTATGAGCCATACCAGACAAGGATGTAAGCCCTTGCTGGACATGCATGTAAACACTGTATAAGCTCTTTTTTGTATTGCAGCGTGCTATAAAACGAGATCATTTTCACTAAATGAAAGATTAATCATAATATGATTTAGTTATCACAAAATGGACTCACGTTTTGGTGAAATCTGAGTAGGCCTACCTTATTATTATTGTTCTCGATCACACAAGGTTATATGACCTGCAGTGAACACAGGCTGTAGTTTGCTTGCCTTTCAACTATTTATCTAATATTCGTAATACCTGCACTTTTGAAAGGTGCCAGGACTGAAAAAAGTTTGAGAAACTTTGATCTACACTACAACTTCCTTTTGCCCCTGCACGTTTTTGCACATTTATCTTAAATAATAATGTGAAAGTTAGAGCTTATTAGGGAAAGGGCAGGGCACACCACACAATCTGCCATGAAGACAAAAAGAGAGGGTGCGCTTCATCCACCTTTTAGCACAAAAGGAGCCCAGCGTGATAGGTGGCACAGTAATCATCCAGTCTTGATTTTATTTTATTTATTTATTTTTTTTTTAATAAATTGTGCTGCCACCAAGGACGGTCAAACAGATTTCAATGTCTGGACACACCCTGCTTGAAAAATGTGCATGTAATGTTTCTTTGATACTTGCCTGTTTTGTACAGAGTGAAGAGGGAGTAGAGCAGTGTTGTAGAGGAGTAGTTTTTTGGAATATGAAAGTAAAACTAAATTGCTTTACAGGAATCAATAATGCTGTATATTTCAGTGCATATTCGGGACTCACTCTGAATTTTGACAAATAACAGAGGTACACACTGGTAAATTTTTTATTCATACCCCTGACTATTGTTATCTATGATTTGTATTCAAATCTCTCCATCCCTCCATCATTTACTCCTCCTGATAAAATGTTGTTGTTTCATGTTGTTTCTGGTGGTCAGGACATAAAATGGTAGCTGTACACAATCATGGTTGTGTCTGCGGACGTGTAGTAGGAGCTACTTTATTTCTCACATTAGGGGCTAAACATGTATCCTCCTGCTTTTAGACGGCTACAGAGATTTAATAAACAAAAGGAGAAACTTCATGAAGTATGAAGCATCTGCTGAAGACAGATTCTGAAGAATAAAAATAAATGGAGACTGATATATCAGCATTCCTAATCGATTAAAAAACTGTTTAAAAACCTAATTCAAGCACATATATCAGAGAGTGTTTATCAATTCTTGATCTCATCACCAATAAGAATTTTCTCTGAGGCTGTGAAAATGGTTTTAGATGAGTAGAAGGTTGCTGATCATTTTTCTAAGATCTCTGACACATTTTTCTCCTGAAATTACTAACACTTTTTGTGCTGTCTCCTTTGAATTAACCTCTTTTCCTACCTGTGTGCCAATTGCTTTGGGATTAGCTCTAAAATAACAAAAAGGCAGGCTAGGCTAATTTCAGGATCAGAAAAGAAAAAAATATTTTAAGTGCTCCCTGTGCTTTTTTCCAACAAAATAAGCCCTCACTTTCTACATCTCTTCCCTGGACGACAGAGTCAGATTATGAGTTTCCTTGTGCTAATTATGAGCTGTTTGAAAATAAGTTCACTGAGACATTTTATTTTGTACCAATAAAAGGTTGGCTCTTACCTACTGCTGCTAGGGCTAAGAACTGTAAAATCGTAAAACATCTGATAAAGTTTTGCCTTAATGTTAAACTGCCTCCAGAGAGTGGAAGTCACTCTGTGTCACAAGTCTGTTGAAATCTGATTTATTTTATCAGTATGACTAAAAATTAATAAAGTTTGCTGTGATTTTGGATTAGTAATTGCTTGCATTAAAAAAGTACAAATCAAACAAACAAACAAAGGAAGTTCTAGTTTCATGTTAACAATCAAGTTATACACCAAGAAAGCAAAAATTAAGCCTGCCTGATACCAAAGACAATAAACAGATGAATTTAGCTGCAATAACTCCAAAGTATGATAAAATTACAACATTTTTGATGCGGAGCTGTAAATTTAAATGCACAAATTCTTTGTTGCGGTTTCACTGAATCAAAAAGTCAGATGTCAAGTTAAGTCTGGCTTGTTCAACTATTTGAGCCATTTGCTATGATTTCAAAACAACAAATGGTCAGACATGTAATGAGCACAAAGTAAAAGTATAAAAATGAATAGTCCTGGTTTCACTGTATCTATCGACTAGCACCCTGGTTCAAATCATACAAAGTTTCTTCTTTAAACATATTTTGGTCCTACATAATTGCAAGCCTGAAGTCAACTTAGATTACAGTTATTCAGAAGCAATCAATGGTTTCAAAGAGTGCTGAAATGTCAACACAGTTCAGATAAAACAAACATACAGTTAGCTTCACTGAAACATAAACCCAGCTGGGTTGGTTGTGTAGTCTAAAGTAAATAACTATGTTTCTGATTTTACTGCAGGCCATGAATATGGCAACTAAAAAATAATTCAAATCCAATAAATGGCTCTAAAAGAGGCTGAATTATGAGCAAAATACAAACACAACTTCCAGTTTATAAATGGTCCTTGCTTCACTGTAAAAGACAGGTTCCATTGGACTCACATTTTGCCCACCAAGTGCCATAAAGCTCAGATGAACAAATTCAGCCGTGATCCTACAGCAACAATAGTCAATGAAAAACTCAATGACCATTGAGTGTTTAAGTACAAATGAGGAGCACACAAATGCTGAGTCACAGTTTCACTGCATTAAGCAGGTCATGGTGAAGTTGGTGTCTTCTATTCTTTTAAAATTACTTTTTTTTCCCGCTACCAGCTACTATCTTTTTAAAAACCCATTATAAAAAAAAGAAACCAAAAAACTTAGATTCTTACATCAAGAGCTTTGCTGACAGATGAAACACTTTGGTTGCATTTGAAAAACAAGAACACATGAGCATTGCACTCTATAAAACCAAAGGATAAAAATGAACATTTTTTTTCTATTTGACACATTCATACTGGTTGCTGCATCTCCTTGACAAAAAGTCATTTTTGTCATATGCAACATGTCAGAGATTCACTGCTATAGATATTATTAAATGTATTATTCCACATGCCTGTCACATGCTTTCAAATGGAGAAGCTCTTGGGATTCATATTTCACTGACTGCACCTTTAACCTCTGAAGGTGTCTCATCTGCTCTATCTTTTTGCTTTATTCCTCTGTGTGCTTTGTCCTCCAGGCCAGGCCCAAATCACCTCCAACACACACACACAAACACAAACACACACTCAACCCCACTCCATGCACTGTATGCATGAGTGGTGTCCACTGAACTCTGGCTATGCCACAAGAGAGCTCTGCTTCTGAGAAAAGTGAGAGTGAAAGAATGATTCACTCAGTGTCTCCCCTACACACACACACACACACACACACACACACACACACACACACACACATTCAGAACAAAAGCAAAACAAAAAAAAACACTCCCTAGGACCACACTGCAGGGCAGAGCTTGTAAAACACAATGCATCAGTTTGAGTTTTATTTATGTGAATTTCTCATGTTTGACTTGTCAGCCCTTATACTGCTCTGACCATCATAAACCACATTACAAGTGAACGCTCTTTGGATGACATTACCACGGGCAAAGACAAAGAAATATGAACCAAACTGCTTGGAAATCCACTAGAAATGGGAGGCAAACAACTCTCATGCACACAACATTACTGAAAGAACTACAAATCTACCAGTCCCCTGCAAACATCAGAGAAGAAAAAAACAGCATATCTCTGTTTTAATACCCCTTAAGAGAAATCATATTCAACATGGGGTTTGTTATCTTGTTTAGATGTTACTTTGCAGCTTTTTATTCACCTAAATTTTATTAGTACTGGTCTGCAAAAAATTATTTTAGCCCAATTCCACTGGAGTTAAAACATTGCATAAATAGCTGATAAAAACAGAATTTGATGATTTGCAAATAATTTAAACCCCTTATTTAACTCAAAACAGAGCAAAGACAGCAAATGTTTACACTTTATTTTTTGATAAAATATATATGCTTATTTTATTTATGATGCCAGCAACACATTTAAAACAGTTAAGGGACAACATAACAGTTAAAAAAGTTGTGCTAAAATTTTCAGTGAGGCTGAGTCTTTCAGAGAGAAAGATGGAAAGAGGCTCAGCACTCTGTGAGTTACTATGTGAACGAATACCTCAACAGTACCAGTAAAATGGATTTCATCATCCAGAGCACAAAACATCATTAAAAGATTCAGAGAATCTGAAAAAATCTGTGTATAAAAACAGGACTCAGTCTTGGAAATTACTGTATGGATTTAAAATCACTTCCAAGAACCACTGTCTGTGAACACACTTCATCACTGCAACTAGAGATTCGGGTTAAAACTGCACCATGCAAAGAGGAAAACACATTGCCCTGTGGTCTGACCAATCAAAGTCTGATATTCTTTGTGGGGGAAAAAAAGCCAGTTCACTAAAAAGAAGAGGGACCATTTGGCTTGTGCACAGCTATAAACCAGCATCTCTGATGGTATGGGGATATATAAGTGTCCATGTCAGTGTCCATGGGTAGCTTCCATACCTGTGAAGGCTCCATTAATACTGAACAAAATCTACAGGTTTGAGATCTGCTGTCATCCAGACAATGACTTTTTCATGGAAGACCTTCATATTTCAGGAAGACAATGACAAACCACATTCTGCAGGGATTACAACTGCTTGTCTCTGTAGTAGAAGAGTCCTGCTGTTTAACTTGCATTATGCATCAGCATCATATTGGTGTCCTGGTATGTCATGTCATGTCCTATCATAGTATTGAAGAAGCATTAGAGGAACAGCATGTAAACACACAGCAAGGCACACACTCTGTGAATAACACGTTGTAGAATCAACACAAGAGCCTAAATTCCTTATCTTAACTTTTCTTACCTGCCTGAGAAGTGTTTCCTGACCAAAAGTGACCCTGCATTCATGCAACTTTTGAATGTATTGCATGAGAAAAAATGGCTGCCATGGAAACTCAAAAGGACAAGACAAAGAAACTCCTCTTAAGATCTGTAAGTGCCCTCGTTTGGCTTTCAACAAAAACAAACAAACAGAAAAAAAAGGTTAAAAAGGTACATGTAAGAGAGGACAGAAAGGAAAGCCAACACGTAATCATTGAGAGCAACAGAATAGACGTCAGGAATTACAGTTTTGTATTTCTAACTCAGTGAGTATGACACACAATGAGTATCATTTCTGGAAGGTTTATTGCAAGGTTGCATACACAGAACAGCTTCTCTGTGAAAAAAAAGACCAAACTTGGAACAAAACAGGAGATTTAAGGCTAACACTCCTATTTTGACTTAAAGAAACAGGTGTGTTCTCAGGGTGAAGTAACATCGTTGATGAAAAACAAAGCTACATGCCTTTTCAGGAGATTTTTTTGTACCTAAAATCACCAGACTTTTTGATTCTTCTAGCCAAAGTAGATGATAAAAGATTCCAGACGAATGAATTTCCCTTTGGGGATCAATAAAGTTCTTGTATTGTATTGTATTCTTGTATTTTAAAGCCATCAGGTGAGTCAAATACCTGCTTGAACCTGGCAAGAAAACAAATTGGGTCAGCCCTCTGAAACAGAACACTGAACATCACATCAATTTTACCGTTTGTAAAGAGCTGGCAAAGGCCCTGCAGCTACCAGAGCAAAATTCAAATAATGTCATGAAGTATGTCTAAGAATTGTCATTTTCAGGGAACAAAATAGTCAGTGGTGGGTATTTTTCTAGTTCTACTTTGTGCCAGTGTGTGTGGGCGAGTCAAAGGAGACTCAGTGTGACAGAGTCTAACTGAGAAGCACTTCTGCCTCTCAACAGAAACAATAAAGGAGCTCCTCGGTATCTCCTGTGGCACGCGGGGGCCATTTGTTTTTGTCACAGGGCTGCTCAGCACCCTGCTAATGTGCTTCCAGGATGCTGCTTTCGGCTTTTCCCTCGAGGCGGAAATCCATCCTAATTATTCACATTTTGAAGTGAGTTCCGTGGTGGAGACCTTCTCCCACAGTGCAGCCAGCGTCACATACATCTTAATAACTCACCACCCTGAAAACTGCTGCCAGTCTGCTACACACTCCCAACAACTCTTTGTAAAACCAGTACAGAGTGTGTGCTATTTATTTATAGAGGTGTGTGTGCGCATACGCGTGTGCATGGGAATATTGAATCTTTCCTGTACTGTGTAGTGAGTTCATGAATCTACGTTGTAGAGCACAAGAGTGTGTATGATTTAACCACTATAAGACAGGCAATACGTGTCATGATTTATTGCAGGCCTTAGTGTGTGTCATTCGCGAACGATTCGTCCAAAAGAACCGAGTCTTTTAAGTGAACGTACTGAACCGAATCACTTCCTCGAGTGATTCATTCATTTCTCACTTCAGTTGAGCTGAAGTGAGAAACAGCATTGCAAGGCCAGCAGCCGGCGAACGAGGAACCACATGCACATGCACCGATGCCTGAATCACTTGGTGAACGAATCACACATTGAGCTACACTCTCTGGAATCATTTTTGTCGGGCAAAACTACCTTTTTTATTTTATTTTTTACTGCTAAATTGCCACCACAACAACTTGCATACAATAGGACACAGCATGTAAACAAATAGTGCAGTAAACCCGCAGCATCCTATCGTGGCAGCGGTTTGCTAGGGAAACGGTGCATGTTCAGTGTGATTTCCTCTAAACGTACGCTGAACAAATCGCTCACTGAGCCCAATTTACTGAGCAGACCTGATAAATGGCATACAATAGGACAGTACACTTAAAACATCATGACCTTTGCCAAAGCAACACAGCCAAACACTATCGTCTCCCAGTCCCAGAAACTATGAATTGAACTGAATCCTGAAACATTCAGCTGTGTATCAGTTCAGCAGGTCGGGGTCGCAGGCCTCTCCTGCCAGGTGTTAAGTGATTTGGTGAACGATTCTTTTCAAGGAATCTTTTTAGTGAACTGATTCTAGTGATTCAGTACATTTAAAAGAACTGCCATGCCCATCACTAGCAGGCCTCTTACTACATTGTCCTGTTTAAATACATATTTTTACACTTTACTGGATTTCATCTCATGCCAAGTATAATAATTTCAGCAGAGGCCCTACATTTTAAAAGATGGGGATTTAGGTAGAGCTGTGTGCTTGGTCAAATTACAATTTTAATTATCATCATGGCTCCCCGTGATCATAAAAATATAATAACCTATACCGGACAATCTGCCTGCAGCATCCTGCTCACAATGTCCTATAAAGTGAGTGAAGTGCACCCTGCATCTCTGCCTTTACAGCAAACAGGCATTAAAGGTCTCCATCACTACGACAGATCTTCATCATTCAGAAAAATAATGGAAAATAAAAAAAGTGCACATGTTTTTGTTGTAGTCCCATTAAGGCTTCCAGTCTAACGATTACAAAATAACCGAATTAACCTTCTATACCTCTCACTTGGGTCATTTTTCTTCACAAGCCACAATACAGCTGTCATTTTTTTACAGCACACCCCTCATGCTGCTTATGAGTAAATAATGATGTAATCCGACTTTGACAGCTATTGATAGCATTATATCATGATCAAACCAGCGTGAAATTTGAGGTATGGATGCTAAGACGAGGTACATGAATACCCAAGGAGCTGGATATGAGTGAGGGAGGTAATAGAGTGGACACAAGTGAATCGGATCAGGTGGACATTTGTGAGGAGAATTAAAAAGCCCAAATTACTAAATGCTAATAAAGATATTTAAACATTTATTTTTACAAGCCTCCATCATGACCTCAAGAATAGATGAAAATTAACCAACTCCCTCACTTCTAGAAATTATATATTTGCATTGCTGATGCTGTTGGTTAGTAGTCTTTTCTTTTAAACACAAATTAGTGCAACACACCTTCTTCGGGAGAGTTGTAATTGATCAGTTCCAGCTAATTCAGCATGCCAGCATTGACACGTAATTTGTCAAAAAGCTCTGATGTTTGAGACATTGAAAAAAATGGTCAAAAATAAATGGAGATGGGCTTAGCTGAGTGAAGTGGGGGACAATGCAAAACCTGTCAGTTCATGGTGCAAAAAATTAAACTGCCTGGGGTGTGCATGTGCGTGGTTTGCCACAGAAAAAAATTTAAACATCCTATACAGCAGTAACAGCAAAAAAGTGCTGATGTGCCATCAGTCGGAAAATGCACACAAAGCTGCCGTTCTTGCTCTGCTGCACACCACCTCTCTGCCCGGTGCTACAACCACCACAACAGAAGCCTACATATCTATGGCTGACTGTGTGTGCAAACAGAAAGTCTGCATATGTGACTTTATAGTGGAGCATCACCAGTCTCTAACAATGTCAAGGCCACTAGTTGAGCAAGTGAAGTCGGTTGCTGAGGATCAGAGTGCACAGCATTTTGTCTGTAAACTACAGGAGGTTGTTGCCCAACACACGCTTGTAAAAAAAACTCCATGTTTGAATGGGAATTGCAAAAAACATCACTCCAACTTCACTGTAGATTTTTCATGCCAGCCCTTTAGCATAATTTCAAAGTGAGGTCAGAAGGATGTGTGTGAGAGTGCAGCAGATAATCTCAGAAAATAGACTCTGAGGTTTCTTGTGAGTAAATAGAAACTTAAAAACTAAAAAGAACAAACCACCCTGTTATATAATAACCATTATGTTTTGCATATCAAACCCTTTGGTCTGATATGCATACCAGTGTGAAGGGGCGGTTCACTGGTGCTTACAACCTTATAACTTAAACTCTTTTTCTGTGATCAATAGATAAGAACACAACAACTTCTGAAGCTGCAAACACATCTGCAATCAAGGCATTTACATCTTTTCAACAACGTGGATATACTCATAATATTAATATTATTGCTGCAGTCATAGCCGTTGTTCTCTGTGTGGGTGATCTAATGTCTCCTGTTGAGAATGAAATTAACTGAGCTAATTTATTTAAAGATAAGTTAAATTGGCTCTTACTCAAAGTTTTTTTTTTAATAAATGTTGATTAAACAATGACTTTCAAATATTTACAGCCTTTATTCCTCCAATAACCCCATTTCCACAATTGCCTTTTATTGCTTTTGTTAATTTTTTTATTGCTTTTGTGACTCGTTCACATCATTATTGCCTTTAACCTTTGTAATTGTATTTTTTATTCATGTTTATTTCTTACATTTCTTTAATTGTTTATACCCTTGTTGTTGCTTTTGTTTCTTCCTGTTTCATTTGTTTTTCTCTTGTTTTTCCCCGCAGCTGCTGTTTCCTCTCTGCTGTATTTAAACTGCTTCTTTTTGTACCTCTTGGTTTCAGTCCATGTGTTGGGCTTGTCTGATGCTTGGGTCATTTCGCTTTGTTAATGTGTCAAAGTTCATTTTAAACTCTCATTTTTAAAGGGAAATATAAGCGTTTTTAAAGTGAGGATGAATGTGTTACATGAAAGAGTATTAGCTACCATGGGTATGGGTCAGCTCCGCCCCTTAAATGATAAACTGCAAGGATACAGTAACTTGTACGCAAGCTAGGCTACAGGCTTTTTTTGCAGACATTGCAGACTCTGCCATGTCAATGAGCTAATTTTAAAAGAGACCCTGACTCAAGCACTCATCTCAGTTTGAAAACATCTTCAGCACTTCGCTTTGCCATCAGAAAATCCATTTAATTTTGCAGCATTTATAGACGCAGCACACACATCCATATGCAGCATGATTAGCTCATCGGGGACAACAGTATACTAGAAACTGATATATCGAATATTTTGACATTTTTGCATAATGTTAATCATTGTATGCCTCAGACTAACCTGCTGACACAGTGATGTTTGTAGAGTTTAACATTTCAGCTCAGTCTTCCCCCTTTAGCAGCTTCAGTGTGTTTTGATGAGGTTAAAAGTATCCTGTGGACCATGAATTGTGTCATTATGCTGAAAAAAACAAAAAAAAACTGAGAGGTCACAAAGTTCTGTGGTAGATTTGTTTTTCTGTTTCCAAAAGCAATGCAGAGACAGCATTTCATATTTTATGCTTTTGTTTTATCACATTCCTTTGATCGTTTATCCTGTTGGTCAGACAGCCAAAGGGTGGTTGATTGTGCCAGCACAGAAAATAGAAAGTATTAAGCAATAAATCTACAAACCAGAGTAAAGTCAGTGGATAAACAATCATTAAGAAGGCCTACGCAAGCTATGTGAAATGCAAATGCTCCAGTGTTACCCTGACTGTCATTGCAGACTGCTGCCTTGTGTGAACTGCTGCTATATTTTGAAACCTAAAGATCCATAAGTGCTTTTTTCACCAAGTTTCACTTCTAACAGGCAGTAGTTTTCTCTGTCTGTCTGTGACACTCCCATCTATAAAAGTGTCTATGTGTTCACAGTATACAGTATGTTATTGGCCCAGTTAGATACACTCATCAACGCTGATCTGAAAAGATGATCAGTGCATTCAAAGCAGAAGAGCACGTCTTTGTGTTGCCAACAGTGCGAAAACAAACAGATTTCTGATGGCGAAGTGCTAAAAATTTCTCAGCAGAGCGTACATTGAGTGCCTGAGTCAGGGTCTCTCCAAATTAGTTTAATGATGTGCTAGAGTCTTCCCAGTCTGCAGAAAGCTGTAGCCTAGCTTGCATTCTGGTTCTCCTGGCTAGATTCTCACTAAAGTGACAAAACTGACTTAGGGTGACCACACGTCCTCTTTTACCCGGACATGTCCTCTTTTTGGGGGGCTGTGCGGGGTGTCTGATCTTGTCCAGGGGGGAGTTTATAGAATCCTCTAAATGTCCAGGGTTTTGTATGGAAATTTTGATTTAGTGTAGCGTGGACTAACTAAGTTAGAAGCACATAAAAAACATAAGACCCGACCCCAAAAAAAACCTCCAAATTTTTCGTGCGACTTTGTTTCCACCTGCGTAGAAGTGTCCTCTTTTTGGGGATTCAGAATATCGTCACCCTAACTGACTAGCATCCATTGACACTGATAATAAAAATAGTTGGTATGCGAGTAACATTACTATAAAGACTCTCACAATGTCCTCAAGTAGCTGCCTTCTCTAGGGGCAGACTTTACATTATTTTAAATTCTGTACTCTAGTCTTGCTTGAGCAGTAATTCGTGCAAACACCCCAACATATGTAAAGAATAGTTAGGCATGATTAAAATGTGTAGACAAGGTTAAAAAAAATGTCAAGTAAAAGTAAAATCAAAATGTATTTTTAAGAGAAAGTGGTGTAGTCAGTACGCGTGTCAGATGACGGTGATAGAAAGTGTGCATCTGTGGATTTGTGTGTATGTGTGTGTTGTGGTAGGTTGTAGTGTGTAGTCTGTGTGTATGTGTGTGTGTGTGTGTGTGTGTGTGGACTCCAGGTAATTTATTGGCAGGGTGTTCAAAAGAAATGGCTCTGAATTATTCACTTTTTCTCTCTGAAGAAAGATGATTTTTTCTCTCTCTCTCTCTCCAGGCTTTTAGGGTCCAAATTGAATTCTCTGTGGGCTCAATTGATTAGAGCGAGGGATAGTTTAAAATATTGAAAAATCAATTTTAGATAGAACTTAATGTGACGATCGGTGCGGTAAAATAAAACGAGAGGAGATGCAGTATGACTGAGAGTGCTGCAGCTTTGTGTGTGAGAGAGCGACTCACAGTCAGCTCTGTTGAAGACTCTCAGGATGATAAAGGCTTTCTTAATTTAGCTCAGTCTTCAGAGATGGACATTTCAATACGAGGAATCATATCTACAGTCCTCTTAAGTGAAAGATGAAATAAAAAAGTATCATGCTCCGAGTACTGAAAGCTAAATGAAGCTGAAGGTTTGTTGATTTGACGATGTTTTTAACATTCAGGTGCAGTCTAGATACTCACAAAGCTGCTGTTTCATCTGCTTTTAAAGACAGAGAATATAATAAATACTGATGGCTCTTTACTTCTATTCACTTGAAACTTCTGTATGAAGTTTTTGTGAAACAGACTAAAAGCAATACAGAAGCCCCTTATAACCTTCAAGAGGAAACAAAACCATCAATGATAAATAATAATGAATTTTAAGTTATGATTTTTGATGCCTAAAAGCTGTAAGGGGTGGATGTTAGACCACAGGATTGATGGATTGATGAGTCACATTCAAGCACACAATGTGTGACACTTAACTTTGAAAAAGAAACCAGAATTTTTCTTCTTTCAGAAAAATCTAATCTTAAGAAGTTCACTTTATGAAAAGATAAGTGAAGTAAAGGGATGTATACTTTACATCCATCCAGGTTAACAAATGGAAACTCTGGGGTCTTTAGCAACGTAGTAGCTACAAGTCAGAAAACCCTATTATCTAGTGGTAATTGGGAGGTCAAATCTAACGGCCATTGAGGCAAACATCAAAATCATGACTTTATTATTATTTTTTTTTACAGAGGCTGACAAAATAACATTTGAAAAAAAAAATCAAAGTTAAAACTGGACACAAGGGCTTTTGAGACTGTTTTAATCCCACTCTGTTGGAACAAACAAATATTCTATAATCATTTTTTAACATGCTCACTTAATGAAAGAGAAGTATTTGAGTTTTGAGTATTTTATCACTGTGATTAACCCCACTTGGCTTTGGTGACAGAGGCAGCTCCTGCTGTTAGAGAGCACTATGAACAGTGCTTACTACCCACTGCCACATTACAGCTTTGTACGATGTCAGATATAATAATCAAGAAAGATGGTTTCAAAGTGATGACTAGACTAAGGTAAGACAATAAATGATCTGATATATTTTGACACCTCCTGTCACATGATAGGGTTGTTCGTCCAGTTTGATGGAGGCAAAATGAGAGGACACTCACGGAAAACCTTCAGTTTTTTATATTCTCTATCTCACAACACTGATTGATTTGTTTGCCTTACAAAACATAAGATATGGTCTCTCAATAGCCATAAATCAAAATTATAGTCTTGTTCTAGGCGATAATATCTGACGAGGGGTTCAGTTATCCGTGATTGACAGATAATATGAAGGTCTGAACCAGTTCAGCTCTCTACATCCTCCATTTTTCCAGATAACTGTATAACTTGGACAAGTCGGTTTCTCTGACCCAGCCATTTAGCTTAACTGTGAGCCAGAGAGTTAATGTCACACTAGCAGCAGTCAAAATGAATAACACTGCACATGTGGACAAACAGCATGTCAATCCAGAGGAACAAGTTAAAGTTGAAAGGTATTTTTATAACATTATATATTATAGAGAGGTTTGCATATTCATGGGTGTGGATGATGAGACTGACAGGTATTGTAGCAGTTTGACATGAGATGAAAAGTCCACCAATGTACTGTGTGTGTACTTTGATGTCACTGTGTATGTGCACAGTCAAAGAGGTGAGGTTACAGCTTGATTTTGCGATTCAACTGGAGCACTTTTACGGTCTTTTTTCAGTCCATAACTTAAAGAAATTTGACTTTGACCAGTTTCATTTGAAATAATGCAACAAATTAATGTTTTATCACGGCATGTAAACACACCAGCTAAGAAGATGTCCTTGTTTTCTGCAGTCTACTGTTTAGAAATGACCATCTTTAGTCTTGAGTTTAAACTTCAATCAACTGAGGTCTCTGTTTTCAGTATTTCATGGGTCCCCTAACTGAGCGATACTACTGTTAGTGTAGCAAAAGACTTTCAAACACATTAGAAATACTTTGATGTTTTGGCCCTCCAGGTGTAAATCCCTGCATTTCTCTGATGTTCCACACAGTTTGCTCATGACTTACACTGTACTATGATCTGTAGCATACATTTAGACCAAAATATTGAGCAATTTGATCTTTTTTTTTTTCTGTTACAGTCCTCAACGTTTAAAATAGATTATAACTATCGTTGTAAATTTGGTAGAAAAAAAAGACAGCCATGTTCACAGCAATAAATAACACCTGTGACACCCTATGCAACACTCAGGACATGGTGACCTTGACATCCTGCAGCTACTTTAACAAAGATCCTGACAGAATGGTGGTTTTTAGAATCACCTTAAATATAATTGATTTAAAGCTCTGACAAAAAGCCTGACATCAAATGTTTTATCATTTCTTGTCAATGTGACAGTTTATCTCACATGTTTACCCAGCATGCCTCAGGATGAAAGCAGAGTGAGCACTTGGATGTTGCTGTGCTTGTGATTTGTGATTTAATAGCAATATACTGCACAGGAGAAATCTGTTTGCCTTTTCCAGATAATCAATTTGACAGAGACTAAACGAACTGATTGATTTAAAGCGGCGAGCAGCAGACACAGCTGCACCCTGAAACTTCATCCATCAGCGGGCACAATTGCTTTCTTTGGCGTGTCGCAGGTACGACGTACTCCATCACCTTCCACAAAGAGAGCAGTCTGACTATCAGCTGCAGACTGCCGCACCAACAGCTCACTGTCTGATAAACTCAGACACAATCGGAGCAAAATCTGGGTCATTACTGTAAAAATGTAATTTACAATGATTAAAACATCCATGATTTGACTAAAAGGCACGGAAACAATTTATTTGGATGAAAACTCTGTTTTACCCAGATTAACATTCCACTCATGAACGATCAGTCTGATCCTATATTTGTCGGGTTTTAAAACTTTAACAACACAAATTTATTTGAACAACAATGACCACTTCTAATCTCACTCTGTTCTATCCATTCTTCTACCAACCCATCACACTCAGCCACCCAACTATTAACAAAACACACTTGGTTCCTATTAATTTGTCTATTCTGAGCTACTGTAGAAAAACATTTAGACAAACTTCTGAATGATATTTTTATTTATGTAGGAAAATACTGCTGAATTCTACACGATCAAGGCACAAAGCTACTTGTGATTTAAGCTCGGTATTCTTTTTCATACTACAGCTCAGATGGGGACTTGAGAAGAGACCATGTGCTCTAGCCATTTCTGATAAATTATACATTGCAGGAACAAAGGACTATTTTAGTTCCTAGATCCCATGTAGAGGAGCATTGTAAGCTTTGAAGTATGTATTCCTCCAGCACAAGGGGGGGCTTTGAGCGGCTGAAGTGCACATTGATTGGTCCATAATGTGAGTGCAAGGCAAACACAAGAGCCATTACATCGCTTGTCAATAAAAGTCATGACATTTATTTAAGCTAAATTACAACAAATTCTACTCTGAAATTTATTTCAAAATATTTAACAATTAATATTATTATTTTTTGTCTTTGCGGGTATTTTTTATTAACACTAGAACCACCGACATTCCAATCCCACTAAAACTGCCGAGGGGGGTTATTTTAACCCCTTGCTCCAACAGCGTCAGTGACGTTACAATGTCATTTCTTGAAGATGTCAGGTGACTTATTCTCATCTATTTTTAGAATAATAATGGAGACTTGGCAAGATAAGTGTTTAAAATGTATATTTTTGTATTTTTTTTTCAACCCAAATAAATAATTATTTAAATCAAAAAGGTAAAATACATTTTCAAATTCAACAAACTGCAGGAACTGTTCAACAAATAACATAATGATTGAATAATATATTAAGAACAACAAAATCACAGATTTCTGTAAAATAATAATAATAATAGTATTTTTAGAAGAACATATAACAAGGCTTAATTTGTATGTTTTTACATTCATGAACAAGCTGTAGGAACTGCAATTTATTTTCAATAACAAAATAATATATCTCTTGTGGCGCGAAAAACTATGAGCGCTGCTTTGCAACTGGGAGTGGCACTGCGTGTAAAGTGACAGCTGTAAGCAGTGTTTTATATGAGGGAGTAAAAATGATATATAAGGTATAAGTGTTCGTTTTAAATTTAATTTTATCACACACTCACCAAAATTTACTGAATGATTAATAAATCCATTGCAGAAAAAGTCATGGACTTTAAGATGTGGGGGTTTATTCCAACAGAAATACAAGCATTTGAAAAAACGCCAAGGGGGTTAATATTACCCCCTTGGCGTTTCTAGTGTTGAGGTTGATGGTTGACCTCTGAATAAGAGTCCTCCAACCTGGACCTGAAGTGGATCTGTTTTTTTCTACTGCAGTTCAGTTTTTATTAAAGTCCTTTTGTTTTTGCACAGATAAACAAACATTGACTCTCCAGCTCTGTTAGTTTACAGCCTCCACCTCTGTATTCAGCAAGCTTTGTCGGCTCATGTTGGTTTTATAAAGCCCGTATGAAATGAGGTGTTTTCAGGTGTTATCAGACAAAATTACAGTGGCTGTTACACACAAAAATATCAATTTCAGCACATTGTTTGTCCCCCAGAAACCCACCTTCCTCCTGCAATTTTCGCAATTTGTAGAATCTGAGTGAGTGAGCTCAGGACTAAATATATTTGAGATAAATAATGTTTCGTGCAGCAACTGTCATGCATCAGTTGTCACAGTGAGTCTCCATCTGCATAACAAAAAACCCCTGCCAATTAGATAGACGACTGGCATTTCTCCCTGCAGCTATCACTGTGAAACCACACTCCTCCCAAAATATGGAAAATATTTGGATTTTCCAGGAAATGGATGCTGCCTCTCATGTATTAGAGGCCTGAAAAATAAAGTTTGACTGGATTACACTTGAAATAAATCACCCCAACAGGGTTTTCTTGTTACCATAATTCAAATCTTGACTTCAAAGAGTCAATATACTAACCTTAAGAACACCCTAACCACATATTTCCTACCTTTGAGACATTTAAGAGTCTAAGATGTATGTTTTTTGTCTAAGCTTCAAATTTTTGTGAGGTAAAAAGCAGAGGGCTGTCTTATCAGGAGCCCTTAATTCCCACCCTAGTGTTAAAACATGAAAATGTACTCCCACAGGGCTGTTAGCTTTTACCTGCTGCGAGTATAACTCACTTAGAAAACAATATAGTCCTCCCAATGACCAATTCCAGCATCATAAATGTTTAAGGGAGTGGAAAATGAACCAATTTACAGTTCTGTTCAGCGGTCAAATGTGCAGGGCAGTGATTGGAGGAGGTGAAAGAGAGGGAGGGGATGTGGGAGGAATTTTGAGTGACACAAAGTGATACAGAGTCTGCACAGTGAACAGTGTGCTGAGCTGAGCTGAACTGAAATGGTACAAGCAGACCATAAACTGGAGACTGGCACCTGCTGCTGAAAGTCTTTAAAATAAGCTTGAGTCAAACAAAAAGGAAGTTTGGCTCACAGAGGATCATCTGCAAAGTTCGAGAAAGGCCGATCCTGCTGGAAGAGCAAAGATGTTTTATCACTATAAGCAATTTGAATGCATATAAAAGTACAAGATGGAAGTACTATCTGCTCCACCTCCTTCCTCAACTCTCCATGCTGCATTATAATTCAGTTTAGTTCTGTATTTGATGAGGAAGTTTAGCTATCTTTTTAACATATTGAAAATATTGCGAATTGCTAAATTCATTGTTTTTGTATTTTTGCTTTTACAGCAGTCCTATTGGTGGTATATGGAAGAGTAGCCTTTTATTTTACTTACTTGTTTTCTGCTGTTTTAGGTTGGGTAGTTAAGTAAGATGTTTGTATTTTATTTCAGTTATTTTGAAGAGGAAGGGTAAAGAGATATTTTATATTTTTATAGATATTTATTAAAAGACTATTCGAACCCCCATATCTTTTTTCAATCAACGTAGGCTGTGATCGGAAAATTATCCAAATGATCTATTCTTTAACAGGTTTGATTTGGTTATCCACAAGAAAAGAAAAAAGGGGGCAAAACTCTAAAACTGCTACTAGAGAGTTAAATAGATCCATTATTCAACAGATGTGGACACTTCATTGCTCTTAAAAATATGTGACTCAGCAGTGGCTGAGGATCAATGAGACAATGTTCATAAAACTGTAAAATAAGTAATTGAAAATCTTAAAAAACATCATTTTTAATATTGGTTAAGTTCATGTTTAGTGATTTAAAACCTGCAGGTGTTCTCAGATCCTCAGACTGCAGCTGTGACTAAAGGCTGACTCATCCTTGTGTAGCTGTATTCATAAAGCTTACTACAAAGAAGTGCTCCTCAGGATGAAACTCCAAGGAGACTTACCCATGACATTTTCTGGGAATTTCCCCCCTAAGGTTCAGACTAAATCCTGGTAAAGATTAAAGTTACTCTCAAAGTCTCTTAGCCCCAGAAAGTTTCTAAGGCAAAAAAAAAAAATTAAAAAAAAAATGTTAGGGGTAGTGAGGAGGAGTTTTATGCGTTTTCAGTTCTCAAGCAGAGGGGAAAGTGGTGGAAAGACCAGTAATGACCAGAGGTCAATTAAACTGCACTGACTGGATCATGCAGTGATCAAGTCTCTGTTCACATCTCCAAACCAACACAACAGCACAAACTCACCAGAGAGGAAAATGATCAGATTTTAGGGTATTTTACAAGTAGTAAAATACAACTTGAAAAAATGCAGCAGTTTCACGCTCGATTATGTTCTGTGGATGATCAGAGAGAGACAGAACAGCTGACGTTTCTGTCTGATTGTCTACAGAGGGGTTCAAAGCAGGTGCAGATAGCACACTGATCAATCAGTCAATCATAAAAGGTGATCATATGGGTAAAAGTGGTGGTGAAACACTGGAAAAAGCAAGGGCTAGATGTGCACCATTAAAATCATCTAAAGATTCCAGCTTCTTTGTTTGCATGTTGGATGAAGTTGTGCATGAAAAAGCATCAAGCACTTCATTTTGATATGCACAGAGCTGTTACATAGGTCTAAAGTGTGGATGAAGTAGTAGTTGTTCCCTATCATGATTAATCCTGTATGGAGGAAACTAAAACTTGTTCTAAAAGCAAAATTGAAATCAAAAGAATTAAAGGTACGTTGCGTAGAATTTCGCAGCATTTTCCCAAAGACATGGAATACATTAAGTAGTTTGTTTAAATAAGTTTATACCAAATGGAATATCATGATCATTTCATGTCTGATTATCTAGAGTGAAATCTGTTGTAGTTGTTGCCTTTGATGGTAAAAACCTGACGAATAGAGTATCAAACTTATCATGAATCAATGGAACATGAATCTGAGTATACATAAAAAAAAGACATCTTTTGAGCAGGTACTGGGATGGTGGTGGCCGTTCTCTGAGTGGGCACTGGAGTTGCCACAATGGGCGCTGACACAAGAGTCGACAGGGCCTCCAACAAAGGAGCAGGAGTTAGCTGGTTATAAGGGCTGTTAACAAAGGCCTTCAGACACTCACAGACAAAAAGTCCTTTGGACAAGGTTTCTTGGCAACATTTTACGCCATCTTGAGCACTACCTAATCTCAGCCCCGTTTCAAAGTCATACAAACTAGCTCCAGTCCCTGTAAACTAAAAAAATGTCCAATCCTCGTGAATGGTCAGAAAGATCCATCCTTAGTCAGATCCTCCTGCTTGTGAAACACAAACAAAAATGGAAGGACTCAGCAGAAAAGGCAACAAAACAAAAGGCAACATAAAAACACAAGGACACATGTTTGACAATGGTCTGACCATAGACTGTATATAGAATGAACGCCGTCTGCCTCCTAACTAGGTGGAGCCATCCCATTTTTTAAAAGTTATTAGCGGGTTCATGTTTTCTATGATTGACACTTGATACAGCCTATGGGCATACGGAAATTACATTGCTCACCCGGTGGGCACGTTGTTTGAGCAGAGCGTCATCACAGCGACTCTCGGCGACTGTCCTGCCGAAAGCGTACAACGCTACTGCGCAATGTTGGTTTCAGGAAATGGAGAAAAAGAAAAAGGAGAAATACTGAGAGCTTTTTGACTTCAAATTCATATACTGGCAGAAGGTGAAACCAAGTTGTCCATAGTTTATCCAGTCTGAGTCTGACACAGAGGGTAGGCAACAGACTTAATACACACAAGAGAGGGAGAACACAGAAAGTTAGACCACACACAAGGAGAGAGAACAACAACTAAAGCAGGAACCACTGAAAACTGACCTGAAGAATAAAGTCGTAAAAACACAGAGGGGAACAGGAACATGAGGATGATGGATCAATACACACAGAGAAATGGCTGCGAAAATAAAGACAAGAAAAAACTCAAAACACATGAACTCATCATGACAAGACAGACAATCAAACCATGAGGACAACAATACCAAGGCAGTCAGAAAATTGATCTCCAATCGATTCATTCTGGTGTAGAAATCCAACTTTGAGAGGTTTGATTTAGAGTGATTTCAGTCAGTAATGTGTTTACATGTTTTTTCAATGGTCCAGTTTTAGTCACACTAAGGCGATAAATGGACTTTTGAACCACATGAAAACTTAGTGACTGTTAGGAAAAGGTGACCGAAACGGAGATTTTTAATGATTTCATATAGCACTTTATCAGAGACTCTTAAAGCGCTTCACATTGGATATATCCAAGGACACAACAGACAGACTACAGATAGGGTGGGGATGGAGCTGCCAACCCTCCAGTTATTGGACAACCTCTCTACCGCCTAAGCTACTGTCGCCCCTATGAGAGATGTTGAACCTATCTATCTATCTATCTATCTATCTATCTATCTATCTATCTATCTATCTATCTATCTATCTATCTATCTATCTATCTATCTATCTATCTATCTACCTACCTACCTACCTACCTATCTATCTATCTACCTACCTACCTACCTATCTATCTTCCTACCTACCTACCTACCTACCTACCTACCTGATGTAATTTAGTCTTGAATGGTTTGTTGTGTGTTTGTCTTCCTCTATCGTCTGTGTTTTCTCTTTTTTCTCTCTTGTTTTTCCAGAGCAGCTGTGGAGCTGGGGTTGAGTCGGTGCTGAAGTCCGCTGTAATGCTCCTAACCTTCATTTGACTGGAGGATTTGCTGCCTGCCAACTGCCTCATGAAAGGTTTGTTGTCACTGCCTGATATTGTGTGCTGTCTGGAGCTGAGTCCATTGTTGTGCCGATAGAAGGGGATCTGTGAAGGACTGATCTGTGCTCTCACTCTTCCATCAAAACAACACTGTCTGTGCTGTGAGGTGACTGTTATCACTCAGAGAAATGTCCACAAAGACAAACACAGACTGAACCAGCAAACCTTTTAGGGTTAATGTTCTGCTTTTTTTTTATTATTACAGCTGCTCCGAGCTGAGGATACTTGTGGAAATTTCTAATAGAGGCTATTCTGAGAGAAACATTAAGCCCTGGTTGCCATAATCATGAAAGGATAATCACAGGGTGACATGCTGCGCTTTTGTCAGAGAGATTTCAAAAGCAGTATGTGGGTAATTTAATGTACCAGAAGTGCCCTATGTAACATGATTAGATGGAATGAGAAAGGGAAAAGAGGAGTGGTTGAAGAAGGAAGTCTAGGAGATAAGGAGGAAGTAGAAAGAGCTATAAATAAAAATCTGAGCTAAGAAAGTCGAATAAAAGCATTAACAGAAATCCTCCCCTGCAACTACACATCCGATTTAGATCTATTTCTCACATCTCCAAAATCCCAATATCTAAAAAAAACTAAACAAAATAAAATGCTGTGTCTGATTAAAAACAGATGTTGATTCTTTGCAAATCATTTCGACCCTAAATTTAGAGTTAAAATAAATTGAGATATATCTTGATGCAGGCTTCAAAACTTTTTTCCCCCATGTACAATTAAGGACAAAGAAAAGGCAAAGGTGGATAATCATGCTGACTGAGACATATTTGTGCCATTACAGATATTTAATATTAATCTTTTTTTGAGTGTGAAGCATTTTAACCTGTCTTTTACAGTTTTTCTCTGTCACTTTGGTGCATTTCTCACATCACTTTTAACATTTGCACAACAGTTAGTGCATTTCTCAGAAAAATTAGTACAAACTGCAAAACTTAGTGGATAATCTGCAAAAGCACGTCACTTACTCAAAATGAGTAGTTGATCCCTCAAAAGCAAGTATTCATGTCAATGAAAGTGTCAGTGTCATCAAAATTAAAAGTCCTGACACCATTGTTTATGAGCGAGAAACCCAAATGGCTTGTTATGTTTTCCTTATGACAGTTTTCCAATGCAAAAAAGTCAGACCTTGGTGTCCCTACCTGAAAATGCTCAAGAAAGCACGATACACTACCTGTACAACCATTTGAAAACTACAGTTAAGTTACACATTACTGTATTGAGTGAAGTAACTGAATACTAGACACATGTATGTTTCACATATTTACTGCATATGCTTTTTGCAATTCTACAGCTTTGTGTAAAAAAAAAAAAAATCACATTCACTTATTTAGAACAAACATAAGAAATATCAATTTTTGTAGAACTATGCACAAATGTGAACAATATAATAGTACACATTACTGTAAACGATGCTGACCTTCCATTTTTGTGTCACAGAATTGTAAAAACGGTACACACTGGTTCACCTGAGAGCAAATGTTCAATTTAGGAGACATTTTCAGGAAAAAAAATTATAAAGGAATGTATGAAATCAGCTGGACAGATTTTGACAGCTAGTTCAACAATTTTGTATGTAATGATTCAGGCAATGAAATGAGGACTATTAGTTTTAAAAGGAATGCCTATTCAGCATTCATAAGTATAGTTAATGTTGGCTGACATTATATAAGCAAATGATAATGTTACAAAACAGCAGATAATTGTATGAAAGTAACTGATACATGTTGAAGAGCATTTGCAATTGGTTCAGAGGAATGAGAAACTGCTACAATGATGTGCACAAATGACTCAGTGTTGTGGAGGTTGAACTAATAGTTGTGAGACCTTTCATTCTGATCTGAGAAATTCACCAAAGCGACTGAGAAAAACTGTAAGATTTCTTTTGAACCTATCTTAAATGACAGCCCTCAGGTCAACTCTTTTATACTGAAGACACAACTGCTCATATGTAACTGCAAAAAAAAAAAAAAAAAAAGAAAGAAAGAAGGAAAGAAAAATGCAAAATAGTGTTTGACAAAAATATGTGTTGTATGAAACAGGGAAAGATTTTGCGTCCCATAAATATATATATATATATTTTCAATGAAAAAGAAAAAGTTAATTTCTTACTTATTTGAATGATTTATTTTGAAGAAAACCACAATAAGTTTTGAACAACTATTTGAGTCGATGTGGAACTTAAATTTTGAATTTATTCGACTTGAATTAACATTTTTTCATGTTTTTTTTTTTTTATTATTATTCAATTTTTCAATTTGCATTTATTTTTCATTTTCAAACATATTTTTGTGTGCAATAAAACAATTTGGCATTAGATAAAATCTTTTGCATTTAGTGAGATGGTTTCTTTTCTGCAGTCAAAAAAATTTTGTAGTGTTGACCATCTGATGCATACTTTCTGTTGGAAAGTAATAACACTTTATATTTACTATATATTTACTTTATTCTGGTTTTATGGGATAAATTCTAGCTGTCATTTAAACGTTATGAGATATGTGATTGTTTCTTTTGTGGCTAGGGTAAATTTGAGTGATTTTGACCTGCTAAAAATCTTACAAAATGGAGTCTGCCTTCTTTTTGAATTAATGTTTTTTTTTTTTTTTTTTTTTCCAAGTTTAAAACATTTCCATAACTGTTGAAACAGGTTTAAGGAAAGCAGCGGCTCTTTTGTGGTGTACAGTCTGCTGAACCAGAACAGTCCAGAAGCCAAGTGTGTATCTCATCTCTGCCTAAATTAAACACGACTCTATGTGTTGTGCGAGAGGCGCTGGAAAAGGCCAGTCGATATGCTTTTAATCCCCCTCCTGCTCTCCTCTCGTCCTCGCTCGGCAGTCTCGGCCTGTCCGCTAAATACAGTGTGACTCTCATCTCAGTGTCCTTCACAGAAGCTCTCCCAGCTGAGAACCACTTTGGCCAGCGAAACACTTTCTTTCTCTCTTTCTTCCTCTGGCCTCGGCCCCTCTGTGGGTGTCATCCTGTACTCCTGAGGCAGCTGTTTGTAGTTGTTCAGCTTGTGTCTGTGATGTGAACATCGTGGAGCAAGCAGTTAACAGTGTGGACTGCATCTCTTGACCTGCATTTAGCCTCTTTACCAAACTGATGTGTTTACAAGTAAGCAGCTGTGGTTCTCAATCTTTTCTTCCAGGAACTCCCCGCAGAGAAAAAAAAGTGAAGCATTGCTTTGAAAAATAATCAGTTTTAGTGTTTTTTTTTGTTTTAACCACAAGACATGATAGATTATTCGCCACAGTTTTTTCACAGTCATCACTATTCAAACTATTCCAGCAGGTGTGTAGTGACAAGTTTTAGTTAACATTTGCAAATTTCACTCTGACAGCCTCATAGTCGACACAGCCTCTGTTGTTTGACCCCTGTTTGTTTGGGAACCTGTACTCAGGAGTGATAGCTACGCTACAAGCAGCAACTACAGACTACGTAGGCTGGATCCTTACTCGTGTTCCTTGGCTCGCCTGTTTTGTTGGGAACCCTTCTGTATAAGGTGACCGGACGTCCATTCTGCTTAGCCTTTGCCTGCAGAATGGTTTCCAACTTTGGGTCATCTTCACCCACCCATCTTGAGCTGGACTCGGCCATCATGGCTATTTCCTGGTGGCTTTCTTCCGCTGTTTAGGCTTCAAACCAACCCCGCTGGAGGAAGTAGCGCACTGATTTTGCTGGGAACCTGCGGCAGCCGACCTCAATAGGAAAAATGGTTGCGTGCCACCCTTCTAGAGCCACTTTGTCAATCAGGTCCTGGTACTTGGCTTTTTTCAGATGGTGGGACGTGGCTAGCCTCTTCACCAGAAAATCTAACCTGTGCGAGGGAGATCCACAGAAAATTCAGGATGAAATGCAGATTTATGGCAGAAAACATAGACCATAAATGATGTGAAAATATGTTCTTTTTCTCTCTATGGTGAAATTATATTTCCAACCCCCTGAACACGGACACTCTTATTTTTCTACAAAACCACGCTGAGTTTTTGATTTTTCTTTTTTATTTTGGTAGTGTTTGCTTTTTAGATTTAGTCTCATTCTTTGGTCTGAAAGACTCTCAGTATTTGTCACATTTGGGTTATTTAAGCCCCAATAGTTTTAGTCTAGTCAATAAAATGTTATTACATTATCATCTCTAAATGTTTCAAAGTATTTCCTGTCTGCAAATTCACTCAATCAGAAGTAATTGGAAGGTTGTACAACTCTTTAAATCTGCATTTTTTTCTCTCTCTTCATGCTTAAACTTCTGTAATAGGAAGTACATTTGTGTTTAGTTAGTCATCATTCAGTAGTTTTCACAGTTACATCCATTTCAACAAAACCAATAGTTCTATGACTGAGGCAGAAGCAAAGTTCTTATTTGGGCCTAATCTACATTTTAGTCTGGATTTCTTTCCTTAGATTGATGATCAAGCTCAGACTCTCCCACAATGCAATGCTGCTGTGCTGGATACCCCCTGATCTACTAAAGTAATACAGAGGAATGATCTTTACTTCAAGTCAAAAAATTCTCTCTGGGGCCATTATGTAAATATTTATTATCTTTAAGTTCATGGACAAAAAGGAGAAAAAAGCATGAAGGCAGAGAAGATTGGACCACAGCGCACTTGTTGCTCACAGGTAACAAAATGACTTCTGGGCCCCTCTGCCTGGTACAGGAATACATCCTTGGTATTATGACAAAATCTTTAGTGGGGAAAACATGATGAATTTTAAATGTCCAACATTCCACCCATAACTGCTTTATTTCATCATCCTGTCATGAAAAGAAACATGAAACTATATTTGTCGAGAATTTTTCGTTCATTGTTGTAGTTAGTGATTTATTGTAGCTCATTTTTGTTGTCTCATTGTCTCCTCATGGGGAAAAAAACCTTAATGTCATACTTTCAGTTAACTGTGGTTTTGTCTATATACAGGACCATGCCCCTCTAGATTTTCTGAGATTGAATAGTTTGTTAAAATAATTTTATTTTCATTTCTTATTTTCTTTTATAAGATTCCTAAATCAAAAGTATGTCATTATTGATCCTTTTGGGGGTTTTGATTTTTCCCTTCTTTCGTATTTTCTGTTACACTTTAGTTATGTAGTTCCTCTGTGTTCCTGTTTCATGTGCGAATTCAATTGGTCTATGATCTTGTTCTTCTCCTGTTTTATTCTTGTGGTTGCTTTTCAGTGTTTCCTGGTTTATTCTTCAGTTCTTTCTCCTTGTGTGTTTGGTTTAGTGTGACTTCCTGTGTTTTCCCTCCCTGGCGATTCTCTGCACCTATGTCTTATTGTCTCACTTGTCTCTTGTTGCTTATTACCACGAGTGTGTCTATAGACCCTGTCTTGTCTTCCCCTTCTTCTTGGCTGGTTCATTGTCAATGCTGTCCATGTCGTCCATATCTTGTCAACCCTACCACTTGTCCTTGTGGTTTCCCAGTGTCTTTTTGTTTCATTGAATTTCTGTGCCTGGTGTCCTTGGTTACTCAGGAATTTTTTTTTTTTTTTTTTGACATTTTGTAAAGTAAGTTTTTGTTATTCCTTGGTGTTTTTCTTTTATTTATGAACGACAACCTCTTTGTGCTAAGAAATTCAGATATTGTTTGAAGAGAGTAATCAAATCCCTTTTTTTTGTATTGCACTGGTTTCAGACATTGATTATTGATTAGATGTGTTACATTATTCCGAGGGTGTTTTCACCATTGGAGCAGATCAACACTCCTCTTCCTCACCAGTGGCATCTTGATGAGCATGCAGAGCAGCTCTCTAACAAAGCCCTCTTCCTCTGATTGGCAAGGTGTCTGCCGTTCAGGAAATATTCTGTGCGCTCTAATCTGAATCCATACTGCGCAGTGCATTACTAATTAGCGTCAGGGTCAGCTAATTATGAATCCGTAAAAAACCTTTGGATCTGCAGAAATGAGAGGAAAGATCAGAGAGCAGGAGGAGACAGGTAACGCTGGTAAGAGCATCTTTCTCTTTATTCCCTCTGTCTTCCTCTATTACGCCTCCTCCCGCCTCTCCTCTGTAATCCCCCTCTCTCTGTCTCTGTGTCGCCTCTCATCACAGGGCTGCTGGGTATTGTGAGTCTGGGACAAAGCACGGGTTGTGTGCTTGATCTGCTGTGGTATTTAGAAAGCTGATGTCACATTCATGGCAGTGGCCCTCTGTCTCATTAAGATGGAGCCGGCTGCTCGGCCTGGACCTCCGCTGGAGAGCGCGGCGGTAATTGGTAATCAGAGAGGGATGGGGCAGGCATCCCTCGCTGGCTGTGTGACCTCTCCCTGCTGCTGGATGCCAACCTGTGTAGACTGCTGCACCTCGCTCTGAAACATGAATGAACATTGGTCTTGACAAGTGCTGGGCTGTGCAGCTAAAGCTGCCGCAGAAAAGGTCGCACCAGAGTCAGCTTCTGATGCTCGATACTAATCAGTTGAAACTGTCTACTGCAGATATTTTAGAGTTACTATAATCACTTTAAATTCCCTCTTCTAGATATGAGGACGCTCAGTGTGAAAGGGGAGAAAGCTAATATAGGACACCATGCTGGCCATCTTAACACAATGAGACTGTCACAAACCCATAAATACATTAGCTTTGAAATAGCGTCTCATTAGCATTTCAAAGTACCTTTTACAGTCTGATTTTCTTCCTGTCTTTCACTCCTTTCATCTGTTTTAAGGTGCCCTTAAGAGTATGTTTCCTCTCTTTCTACACACATTCATTTAAAATGGTCTGTGTGGTTTGGTTTGGTTTGGACTTGGATGCTTTTGTTCTTAGAGAAAACCTTCAAACTAAATCTTGTCTTTTTTAATTCACTAGAGACTCAATGTCTACATTGTCTCCTACATTGACTTATTTTTTGTGCATTTTGTGTCTCGTGCCTAAAGACAACAGCATGGGGACCGCAAACTGAATGTCTCATTCAAATCTGTGCTATCTTATTTCTTTACTGGGGAAAAGTACTAAATTACGACAACAATCCTAATCATGATTACTTTATTTGACTTAGAAATCTCAATTATTAAAAATGATAATCTATGATTTAAAATCTGCTTCACGGGCACTTATGCAACGTGAGGCCTCTTAAAACTTAAAAGCTATTATTTCTTTAAAAGTATAAATACTAAATTCTGAGTAAAAAGAAGAAAAACTCTTCTTAGATGTATTCCAAAGGGGGAAAAAGATCATTTTACATTCAGGTTTATACACGATGTGGAAAGCCTTTGATTTCCACTGGTGTGTCAGGGTTCAAAAAACCAAAACACCACTTTGCTGTATCTTTATTTCAAAGCTCTCACGAGGAGTTATGAGTCACTAATTAAACAGACCTAGATTCATATTGATGCCTTTTTTACAATACACAGAAGCAAACAAGACCATCAGTGACAAGACTGATACGGTTATTTTTATACTGTAGTTTATATGTAGTTTATGATGCCTCAAAGATGTATGAGGGGGTAGGCGTAAGTCGAGCTGCTGGAGAAAAAGCCTTTTCACATTTCCTCATGAAATATTCTCAAAAAAAAGTTGCAGATTTTTGGCCAAATGATATTAAAGGTCCTTACACACCAGGCGCGAATTCGCCAGCATAAATTCAATGCAAGCTTCCACACCGGCGGCGATTTTTCCGCGGGGCGAAAAGCGACTTTTATTTTTTCGCTCTTGTGTCGAATTTTTGAAGATTCACAGGCGAATATCTGGACCTGCTAGACCTCTGGCCAACCAAAAGTCATGTTGTTGATGACGTCACAGACCCATGAGGCTGCAGTTCACACGACACACACCACCACTGGCACAGAGAGCAACGATGGGAGAGAGGCTGGTAATTGCTGTACAGGACCACTGGATGGTGGTGTGAAACTCGCCCATCTCCTTCCTCAAAGTCAATATGGGATGTTTCCAAACACTCCTTTGTTTATTCTTCTGTCTTCTTTTTTTTGCCAAAAGCATCACAACGAGCTCATCATCGCTTGAGGATGTTGTTGACTCAATTTCTTTGTTCTCCTCTCCTCCGTGGCGCGAAAGAACTCGCGCCAAAGACAATATATATAAAAATTCGCTTTGCAAAATTTATACGCATTCGCGCCCGGTGTGTACAGGTGAAAGCGATTTTTCGGACCGGCGAATATTCACATTTTCGTCTCGCTTTTTCACTCCGCAAATTCGCTGGTGTGTAAGGACCTTAAGTTTGGATCAGGAAAGACTGCTTTGTCTACAGGGGGGTGCCAAAGTTGACACAAACTGTAATTTCCTAACAAGAGCTTCAAAGTATGTGTCTCTTACATAAACCATATATCAGACCCACTGATTTATAATTATGATAGAAATATATATCTGATAACAGATAACAGAGGACACATATTAAATCTTCCAATAAGAATACCAAATTCTCAGAAAACCCCTTACAAGAAACTGAAACCAGGGCTCACTGGCAGAAATGTTAAAACAAAAGTTGACTTTAGTCTGATAACAGAGGAGGGGTCAAAACTAGGAAGGAAAAACAGGCAATTTATCAGATCGAGGAGGAAGAACAAGACTAGAAAGCTGGGCAGACACAGTGTGGTGAAGATAGAGTGGAAAAAGGTCGGGATACATACTAATGAGGGAATAGAGCAGGTGAGTAAATAAGCTGAACCAAAACGGTGATGGGAATGAGGGGAACAAAGTCCTGCAGGGCATAGGGGGTCTGAAATGACAGAGTTTGAGCCTGTGTTCCAGCTATTTAAACCACTCGCCTGTTAGTGAAGGATGTTTGGGACACCACATAAAGATGAGGCCTGACCAAATTGCAAATTCAGAGTGACAAATTGCAAAGATGGCCCACTACATCCTCTTGCATTTTGCAGCATACAAGCCATCATAGTTTTAGCCGTTATGACCCACAATCCTCTGCAGTTGTGGATATTTCAGACTGAGGGCGTAAACACAGACACATGAGGAAGAATCTTGGGATGTACAAATTTCAAAGCATGATGTCCTGTCAAAGTGAGACCGCAAAACTGTATTCATACAACATGCAGAGTTATGCTGCAGATTTCAAAGTATTAAAAATATGACTTGTTATGCAAGGCTTGAGTTAGTCAGTGTGATCAGAATAGACCATCAGGTTTTTACTCCTCATTTGTCAAATGCTGCAGTGTAATCAGGGGTATTACACTTAATATGATGATGTAGAACCCCCTAGCAACAGTTTCACATATGCAAGGCTCTTCTGGGCAAAACCTAACAGATTACCTATCATGCCCACAAATACTGGTAACATAAAGAACAGTTTAAAGGTCCCCTATTATGGCATTTTTCATCAAGTTTAAATCAGCCCCAGAGGTCCCATAATAGTAAGTTTAAAGTTTGTTGTCTAAAACATCAATCTATTTGTGGATATTACCCAGCCTCTACCCCCTTCTTTTGCTCTCGGGAATAAAGGTAAATAGAAGTGAGTTCGAAGACAAATACCAACGATGATAAACACACGTGATTGCAGCCAAAGCACTCGTCATACATAAAGCAACATAAAATGGTAAAACTTACAGATGCCATGTTTGAAGTTGGGTCCCTGACACGGACAGTTGGTACGGATCCAGGTTTTATCTTCAGCTTCTTATTGAATCTTGCTTTGAACTGCCCCTCGTTGGTAAAACAGTCTGTGGTGAAATGGTTAGCGCAGACATACAACATTTTCTGAGTTGTTGTGGGTACATTTCCATCAAAAATAAAATGATCCACTGGGTCCTCAAACCTTCACATGTTGTGGTTTGCATTTGCTTGTCTGTTTTCTTTAATTTGGTTGATGTCTCTGCTGCTCAGCACCCACTCATAATTTTTGAAAGTATGTGTCATAAATCTAGCAACCACAGTTCCTTGTGTCATATTTTACAAACACAGAGTAGAAGACCAAGGAGTTGAAAAAAAATGAATTAAGGCAAAACTTGATGTACTGACAAAGTCTAAAAGTTAAAAACCCACAGTAGAGTTGAAACAGGGGGGACAGAATAAACCAGTGGAAATAAGACAAGGGAAAGGAAAAGAAACCACAAGCAAATGAACAGACAAGGATACACTGACAATTTTACACTGACACTCATTAAAGCCTAGTGACAATTTGATTCTTACAGTGTGAGCACTCAGGTTGTGCCCACAGTCGTACCGTACAGTGTGAGAACATGACCTGTAAGCTTTTGTTATTTTCATGTGTTGTTTACAGTCTATTTGTACAGAGTGAGTTTGCCTTTTACCCTGACTTAAAAAAAAAAAACACACACACACATTGGACAAATCCCTTCATTATGAACAGAGACTACGGCAGCCTGGTAATAAGACACCCATTCCTCAGTAGCAGGTCTGTATTTGATTTACCACAGAACAAAAGATGTGACCTACGGGAGGACATGTTTGTCTGCAGAGTGTCACTGACTCATCAGCTTAAATTCAACTCCCGGAGTTTCTTCCATTAGTCTGTCTTACCTCACTGATTTCGCTCTAATGAGAGACTTGTGTGTCTGAAATTACATGAACCGATCCTTCCATGAGATTCGTTCTCAGCAATCAGCCACAAAAAGTGTATTTGCACAACCTGCAATTTGACACAATTACTCAGGCCAAAAGGGTGAAGCGGTTGGTGTTCGTATGTGTTGTAATGCTGGCCAGAGGCTTTCAAACTTGTTTTCTTCCAGGCAATCTATCCGTTGTCTTTGTGTGTCCAGGTCCTCCTCCTGTGATCGCCAGTGCTGGGCTCCTGGCCTCATTACTGACTGCAAAAAGAGAGGGGAGAAAAAGACTGACAGGAGAGATTTAAAAGGAGCAAGACTGGTTTTAATGTGAAGGTCCAATTTTCTTTAAACTTCACATGAAAAAAAAAAACCTGAGTAAAAATTGAAAGTGTAAGAAAGGTGCAGTATATCATCACCTGGAGGCAATGAGTGCTTGTTAGGAAGGAACGAACAACACATGGATGCAGTGTTAGCGAGTAACCCTTTGAGAAATATCAGCGTATCAGTGTATTAAATAGATTTTCAGAATCTTACTGTGTTGGGTGAAATTACCCATAAAAGTAACTCCTTGAGGTTTAACATTACTGCGACTGAATAGTAACCTACTACATTCCTGCGTCACTTAAAGGTAAAGCTTTCGAGAACACTTGCATTACAAAAAGTGAAAATCCCTTAAACTCCCAATCTGTTGCATATATGCAAAAAGAAAAGTCTCCCCTGGCAGCTGGTGCATGTGTTTTTCGTTCGTGCAGCTCTCCAGAAGGGGGAGCACTGCACATAATGTAAAGAAGCGTCTTTGTGTCGTCTTTTTCCTTACCTTTCCTCGAAGCTTGACTAAGAGCTGATGCTGTTTTAGAGCTGTAAGCTTCGCAGTCATCTTTATCCTCTTCACTTGGGATTCACACCTGCATTAAGCAGCTTGGATTATTCACACCTAACAGGCTTTTGTCCTCCAGGCATAGCTGAAATTTCACTGTGATGTTGCTTTTGTCTCTTTAACTCACACTCATGAGAATATTTCCAAGAAGTAAACACTATCATTCGCACTCAAGCGCTAGTTAAATTAGCTAGCTGCTAAAGCCTTATGATGGGATGCAGTATGCCTGGAGCATACTAATAGGAACTAGTCATCTTGTATTTGTCTTAAATGATAATTGAACATACTACAGACAACTTGGTTCCACCTCTCGCAAGTATATATTTCCCCCACTTCCTGAAAACTACATTGCGCAGTAGCGTTGTATGCACTCCACCACTTGCGCGGTAGTGTCATACGCATTAAGCGAGAGAGTCACCAAGAGTCACTGTGATGACGCTCGGCTCAAACAATGTATCCTGCGGGTGAGCTACACAATCTTCGTACGCCCATAGGCTGTATCAGGTGTCAATTATAGAAAACATGAACCCCCTGATAACTTTTTAAAATGGAGCTGCACAGAAAAAAGAGGACTTGAGCACAAACTAGTCTTACTGTAACTACATGTCAACATCGCAAGCAGGGGGGAGGAAAATTTATATTCTGTGTAATTAATCGCTAGAGTTTGTCCACAGGGGGGCGGGATTTATGACCTATACTGCAGCCCGTCACCAGAGGGTGCTGTTCTTGTGGTGGCTTCCCCCAGTGAGGAGGCAGATGGCGTCCATTCTATATACAGTCTATGTGAATGAAGCACGTTCTCTTTGTCTTTCTTTACAGCAGAGCATGGGTATGGCCCCTCTACTTACACAGCTCTCACTTTCACTTCATCTTAATTAGCTCAGGCGGATATGCAACAAAATTTGGTAGCACAATTGCACCACACCCCACATATCGAGCCAGCTTCATCCATTAACCATCCTTCTCCTGTCTCACTAGCAATAGGCACTGGTGATTATGTAAATGTAGCTCAACTACTCCATCCATCCATGATTGACACTAGGCAGTCCAAGGAAATGCAAAACCAATGCCCATAATTCTGGACATTGCCCTGTGTTTCGGTGGCACAGGCTTTAATAGTTATCACATATATTTTGCAAACCAAGCAACTGGCTGCATCCAGCAGTTAACCAAAATACATACTGGAGTGTACTTGACTCTGAACTGTATTGTTGCATCTTTACTGCCTGCACCTCCCTCTCTTGTGAGTTATATACAGCCCCCTCCCACCCTGCCCCAACATGCACTGTCAGCACTCCTTGACCTAATTCACACCCATCTTCCTCTCACAACACCGCAGTCTTCAACTCCTTGTCACCTACAGCACCTCCACCTTCAATTATTCCTAGGTCCTTAGATCTATGAACTATTGTCAATGTCCCCAAGCCTGAAGAAGAAGGCCTACCCTATACCAAACTGGCAGGATGGTGTGCAATAATTTCAACCATCTCATCTGCACTCTCTTCAACTGTTGCCTCCTTCATGTCTGCTCCTTCTACAGGTGCTCATGCCAAGGGCACCTGCCCACACAACCCAACTACACCCACCATCTGGCTAGTACAGTGCCTCAGCTCACCTGATTAGGTAGATGCCCTTCACACGGCTCTAAAGAATCATCCAGTCAGAGAGTTTGGCAATATTCTTCGTAGCAGTTTCACTCAATTTTCATCCTGGCATAAACATTCCCACAGACACTTCACACACCTGCCACAACTGCTCTCAAGAACCCAACACCATTGATTCTTTGCTAGCAAACAAGGTTAAATAGGGATTCATGATAGGCCCATTTCATGAACCATCTTTCCCCCTGTAACCTGGAAATACCATGGCAAATAAGGTGCTGATCACAGACCTCTCCTCCCCACATGGGTCACACATCCAGCATCAACAGTATCATTCCATGCACAGATTTTTTTTATGCAATATGCATCAATTGATCATGCCATCACTCATCCTTCTGGCAGGCACAGGAGCCTGGCTTTCTAAGGCAGACACCACAAGTGCATTCAAAGTGCTACCCATACACACCAACTTCTGGTGTAACTTTGGAGTCTGCTGGAAAGGAGCCTAATATTTTGCACTGTGCCTCACTTGGCCCCAAGGTCTTTCAGTCCCTCTCTGAGGTACTGTGCCGGATCCTGACTAACGTCTGGTTCACACTGGAAGCGCCGCGCGCGGAACGGAAGCGCCGCGCACAGAGTTTCAGATCGGCGCCCATGTTAACCTATGAGACTGTTCACACAGCACGCGCGCGGAAGCGCCGCGCGCGGAACGGCTCGCGCTCTGGAGCGCGGGTGCTCCGCTTCTCTCTATTTTCGGCGCGAGCCGCGAGCGCCGATGTAAAGCTCAACAGAGCAGATCGGACCAGACAGGAAGTCAGGAAGGAGATGCGAGAGAATCCGGTCAATTTTCAAAATAAAGTAAATTTCAATAAATTAGAAAAGGATTTACGGTGTTGCTTGTCTGTCTATTTTTTTTTACCGATGAACACACACACACACACACACACACACACACACACACACACACACACACACACACATACACACACACATACACACACACGGAGGGAGAGCTGCAGAGATTCAGTGATGTTATTGAGACAGGGGGGGGGGACTTTATTACGATACAGTCAATAGCCTCGAGCTAACGAGGCTATACATACAACGGAGTCAACAGACTCCCCAATTTATTCGTCGTTTACCCCTATATAATAATTTAAAACATTACTTGAAGATGCTGTCAATATTTAATTCATGTATGACGAAATAAAAACGTAAATAAATAGTGATTTACCCATTTTTAAAGCGCTCGTAAGTGTGGAAAACTGAGGGCAGACGGAAACGGCCGAGCACTACCGGGCTCAGTCGATGTCTGACCGGCATGTCAGAGCGCAGCAGAAAGCGCTTCCTGTGTGAACAGCCAAGCGCGAGCCGGCGCTGCGCGCGCGCGCGGCGCTTCCGTTCCGCGCGCGGCGCTTCCTGTGTGAACCAGGCGTTACGTCTGGTTCACACTGGAAGCGCGCGCGCGCGGAACGGAAGCGCCGCGCACAGAGTTTCAGATCGGCGCCCATGTTAACCTATGAGACTGTTCACACAGCACGCGCGCGGAAGCGCCGCGCGCGGAACGGCTCGCGCTCTGGAGCGCGGCTGCTCCGCTTCTCTCTATTTTCGGCGCGAGCCGCGAGCGCCGATGTAAAGCTCAACAGAGCAGATCGGACCAGACAGGAAGTCAGGAAGGAGATGCGAGAGAATCCGGTCAATTTTCAAAATAAAGTAAATTTCAATAAATTAGAAAAGGATTTACGGTGTTGCTTGTCAGTCTATTTTTTTTACCGATGACACACACACACACACACACACACACACACACACACGGAGGGAGAGCTGCAGAGATTCAGTGATGTTATTGAGACAAAGAGGGGGGGACTTTATTACGATACAGTCAATAGCCTCGAGCTAACAAGGCTATACATACAACGGAGTCAACAGACTCCCCAATTTATTCGTCGTTTACCCCTATATAATAATCATCATGTATGACGAAATAAAAACGTAAATAAATAGTGATTTACCCATTTTTAAAGCGCTCGTAAGTGTGGAAAACTGAGGGCAGACGGAAACGGCCGAGCACTACCGGGCTCAGTCGATGTCTGACCGGCATGTCAGAGCGCAGCAGAAAGCGCTTCCTGTGTGAACAGCCAAGCGCGAGCCGGCGCTGCGCGCGCGCGCGGCGCTTCCGTTCCGCGCGCGCGGCGCTTCCTGTGTGAACCAGGCGTTACGTCTGGTTCACACTGGAAGCGCCGCGCGCGGAACGGAAGCGCCGCGCACAGAGTTTCAGATCGGCGCCCATGTTAACCTATGAGACTGTTCACACAGCACGCGCGCGGAAGCGCCGCGCGCGGAACGGCTCGCGCTCTGGAGCGCGGCTGCTCCGCTTCTCTCTATTTTCGGCGCGAGCCGCGAGCGCCGATGTAAAGCTCAACAGAGCAGATCGGACCAGACAGGAAGTCAGGAAGGAGATGCGAGAGAATCCGGTCAATTTTCAAAATAAAGTAAATTTCAATAAATTAGAAAAGGATTTACGGTGTTGCTTGTCAGTCTATTTTTTTTACCGATGAACACACACACACAAACACACACACACGGAGGGAGAGCTGCAGAGATTCAGTGATGTTATTGAGACAAAGAGGGGGGGACTTTATTACGATACAGTCAATAGCCTCGAGCTAACAAGGCTATACATACAACGGAGTCAACAGACTCCCCAATTTATTCGTCGTTTACCCCTATATAATAATCATCATGTATGACGAAATAAAAACGTAAATAAATAGTGATTTACCCATTTTTAAAGCGCTCGTAAGTGTGGAAAACTGAGGGCAGACGGAAACGGCCGAGCACTACCGGGCTCAGTCGATGTCTGACCGGCATGTCAGAGCGCAGCAGAAAGCGCTTCCTGTGTGAACAGCCAAGCGCGAGCCGGCGCTGCGCGCGCACGGCGCTTCCGTTCCGCGCGTGGCGCTTCCTGTGTGAACCAGGCGTAACGATTACAGACTTCCAGTCATGCTACATCTTATTGAAGTAAAATAATCTATCGGCGAGAAAACTCTTGAGAGGTACAACACACAGTGCACTGTTCAGCAACAAGGAACAGAATGACGCAATACGCCAGTCACCAGTCAGGAGGAGGAGTCTCCTGTTATATTGCATCTACATCTTCTACACCTTCCACCTTGATTTCTGCCTCAGGCTATATGAACCATGGACAAAATACATCAGCTCCAGGTATGCTGCTCAAGCATCACCTTACGACACTCTTGTACATACCAAAACGGGAAGAATGGCAACCCAATTCTGTTGATCTGCATCAAGCTCACACTCAACTAAGCTCCCTTCCAATATGACTCTTTGGAGGCTGGACCAACCGAGGGCTGGACCACGCCTGAGACAGAACCTCCATCTGGAGCCTCTCCCTTCCAGGCCTTTATAGATCCTCCCAGACCAACCAGACATTCAACAATCCTCACGAGCCTTCATTATTCACCCCATTAACATACATCAGAAAAGACATATCATTGTGGCCTGGTCATTGCTCGTAAAATGCTTGTTGTTTATGATGTCCTTGCAGTCCAGGTGTAAGGGCAGTCCATATTTAAGTCCAGGTCCAAGTTTGAGTCATCAGTGCCAGAGCCAAAGTAGAGTCACGGGTCAAGACTTGAGTCAGGTTTGTCTATGGATCACTGGCTTGAGTTTTACAGCAGTTCTTGTTCATTATTTGTTTCTTATTTATTCCTCATTTGTCTACCTATAACTGCACAAAAATAAAAAAGTTATAAAATGTTCTTCACATTAATGTTAAGACTCTTAGGTGCAAATCCACTGTGCACCCTGCAGTAAAACACTTTGTTATTGTTAGAGAGGACAAATACTGTACTCTGCAGGGGACACTTCAGGGTTTTTATTCCATTTCTACCGACACCTCCCAGTCTGCATTACACTAAACCTAAAAACGATCAAAATATCAGAGCTGTCTGTGAGGCTGAACAGATGACTCTGCAGTGAATTTGCTGTGACATTGAGAATCCCTCCAGAGAAGAAAGACACAGTTGTTTACCTCGGTGTTGGGCTGATTTGTATGGTCACTGAGAATTTGTTTCCTCACTGATGGGCTATAAAAGCCCAGCGTTGGGGGACAGTGTGGTGTCGCTGCGAGCAGAGACGTGATCAGGACTTTACTGTTAGATGTGAGAACAGTCAGTGAGGACAAACCTGAATCCAAGGACATGACTGGCTGTTTCTTTTGATGTGTGGCACACAACAGATACACACTGTTCAGATGTAATAAACAGAGAGGCAGGACAGGGAGTAATTTAAACTTTTGCTGAAATGTCATCATGTCAGCAAAGGGGACCTTATAGTCTGTGGATTGTTACAGGATTCACTGATGTGAGACAAAACAAACAAGAACCTGCACTGAAAATATCCTCTAATTTTAAACTCACTTAAGTACATACTGATGGACCAGCTTACCTTAAAGAAATCCAGGAGTCATTTAAACTTACTTATTCATATATTCAAGAATCATTACGTTTTACAACCACCTGATTTTGCACAGATGTGTTCATGACAAACTTTTTACTGGACATATGATACGATGTAAGAGTAGATACAATTTTATAAACTACGTTGCAATACCATGTGATACAATCAGTACAATAAGATACGACAAAATGCAATACAAAACAATACCATACCATACAGTGTGGTCAGCATGTTTTGGTACGATGCAACACAAAAACATAAAATATGAGACAAAAGGATCCGTATGACACATTATTATGTGGCACAATTTAATATAATATAGTATAATATGATACAATATGATATCATACCATGGTGTACCATGGCATACCACCAGCATGATATCATACGATACCATATGAACCATATGATCCGCTTCTACATGCACACCCCTGAAAACATAAACTAAACATCACATTTTTAACACTGATGCTTCTGTCTCTACTGCTTCTGGTTTGACTTGTTTTGTGCTTTGAAATGTTTACATATACACTCACCGGCCACTTTATTAGGTATACCTGTCCAACTGCTCGTTAACACTTAATTTCTAATCAGCCAATCACATGGCGGCAACTTAGTGCATTTAGGCATGTAGACATGGTCAAGACAATCTCCTGCAGTTCAAACCGAGCATCAGTATGGGGAAGAAAGGTGATTTGAGTGACTTTGAATGTGGCATGGTTGTTGGTGCCAGAAGGGCTGGTCTGAGTATTTCAGAAACTGCTGATCTACTGGGATTTTCGCGCACAACCATCTCTAGGGTTTACAGAGAATGGTCCGAAAAAGAAAAAATATTCAGTGAGCGGCAGTTCTGTGGGCGGAAATGCCTTGTTGATGCCAGAGGTCAGAGGAGAATGGCCAGACTGGTTCGAGCTGATAGAAAGGCAACAGTGACTCAAATAACCACCCGTTACAACCAAGGTAGGCAGAAGAGCATCTCTGAACGCACAGTACGTCGAACTTTGAGGCAGATGGGCTACAGCAGCAGAAGACCACGCCGGGTGCCACTCCTTTCAGCTAAGAACAGGAAACTGAGGCTACAATTTGCACAAGCTCATCGAAATTGGACAATAGAAGATTGGAAAAACGTTGCCTGGTCTGATGAGTCTCGATTTCTGCTGCAACATTCGGATGGTAGGGTCAGAATTTGGCGTCAACAACATGAAAGCATGGATCCATCCTGCCTTGTATCAACGGTTCAGGCTGGTGGTGGTGGTGTCATGGTGTGGGGAATATTTTCTTGGCACTCTTTGGGCCCCTTGGTACCAATTGAGCATCGTTGCAACGCCACAGCCTACCTGAGTATTGTTGCTGACCATGTCCATCCCTTTATGACCACAATGTACCCAACTTCTGATGGCTACTTTCAGCAGGATAATGCGCCATGTCATAAAGCTGGAATCATCTCAGACTGGTTTCTTGAACATGACAATGAGTTCACTGTACTCAAATGGCCTCCACAGTCACCAGATCTCAATCCAATAGAGCATCTTTGGGATGTGGTGGAACGGGAGATTCGCATCATGGATGTGCAGCCGACAAATCTGCGGCAACTGTGTGATGCCATCATGTCAATATGGACCAAGCTCTCTGAGGAATGCTTCCAGCACCTTGTTGAATCTATGCCACGAAGAATTGAGGCAGTTCTGAAGGCAAAAGGGGGTCCAACCCGTTACTAGCATGGTGTACCTAATAAAGTGGCCGGTGAGTGTATATATATATATATGTATATCAGATGTAGAAAACCTCCACTGTATAAACCTAAATCTGGTTCTGATTAATCACAGCTATAGGATTTTAACCATCTAAAATCAAGTATTTAACAGTTGATGATTGGTGAGTCGTAAGAAAACAGAAAAAACTAGAAAAGCACTTGGAGAGCGCAGACCTCCGCCAAGCAGCTCATGTCCCCCCTTAAACAAGAAATGCCTTGACCGAGATTTCGAACCCAGGACCTTCTGGTTGTGAGGCGACAGTGCTAACCACTACACCACTGTGCCGCCTATCTACACCACTGTGCCGCCCATTGGTTATCTTTCAGCATTGAAAATTCCAACAACACCCTTATTTTTGTGTGTTCTGGATCACAGTATCCAGAATTTCGTCCGGATCACCACCGAAATTTAATGGAATCCTCCTGGGGCTGAGACGCACCTCTGGTGAAAATTTCAGGTCAATCCGTCTGTTACTTTCTCTGTAAAGTTGCTTACAGACAAACAAACAAACAAACCAACGCTACCAAAAACATAACCTCCTTGGCGGAGGTAAATAGAGGTGCAATAACATTTCTGAGTTGATAAAACACTTCATAAGCCAAAGTCCATTTGACACAGTTGCCCTCTGAATGCTTGTTTTTGATGGTTAGGGTTAGGGTTACTGTGTAAATCTGTAGTGGAACCCAGGAGAGAACTAAGTCCACTAGAAGTATCGTTTACAGTATCATATGTGTCTTAGCAACACCCTGGAAACCCTCAGGGAGGAGCTAGAAAATGCCAGAGGATACTGATCTCAATGATATCTTCCATCTGAGCTGCCACTGTGATCCAACCCCAGATAAACGAAGAGAATGGATAGAGCGATGGATAAATGGACGCTTAAATCACTGAAAAGTACAGTGAGAGGCAGAATGAAGTCTACTGGTCATGCTTGAAAACATTGATTCCGTGTCTATAAGCCTTCCAGCTGTGAGAGTTTTTAAAGCAATTATAAGAGTACTTTGACAGGGCCGTGGACCAATTCAGAGAGCAGTGAATACATTAAAAATGACCCTTTTAAGTCTGACACTTGATGGCTTTTACATGTCAGGGTGTCAGCTGGAGAGGACTGCACCAGTGACTGCCGCAGCGACATGACTGGAACAGAAATGGGTTGAAAATGGATGATATAAGAGCACTTGACTGGCTAATTCCTCTCTGCAAATATATACACAACCAGCAGCAGCATTTCATTCCCACTACAGCAGAACTCCATCACACTGAGATATGGAGGAGGAGGGAGGACTGAAAGAAAAGAGAGAGAAATAATCGCTTTTAAATGATTCACCGCCAAAGCAACATTTTACATCATCTAATGTGCGTGTCAGATTTGCAACTGCAGTGTTGTTTATTTCCAGACCTATTTGTCAGTATCAAGTGTTCCAGGTTTGAACCTAATCGAACTGTGTTATGTTTTTGTATATGTTTGTTTGTATTTCCTGTGTGTACATTTTGGGTGATCTTTCACTCATCCAAAGACTTGTAGGCTAAATTCTAAGGTCCTAGAGAGCATATAGTCTGGCTGACCAGGAAAAAATTTATTAAAGGAAACATGACACAAAATCAGAAATGATGCAGTTTCCTTAACAGGTGTGAAAGCTAAACACCAAGGTAAAGAGAGAAACATGCAGCGAACGAAACATTAGAAGCAAACACACTGCAAAGACAGAAATTAATTAAATACAAAGTTGCACAAACGTGCAAAATGAAAATGTTGTGAATCCAGACATGATCGCTGGATTGTTCCAGGCCTGTGGGGGCGCAGAGTAGCTCAGGTTATGCATTTACTAATGTTTACTTTTTCCACACTGATGTTGTGGGGAGAAATAACCACAGTAACTTCCAGTTGGAATTGTCCAAAGGATCCCCAAACTGAGGGGCATTAAGACGCCAAGGAGGGGAAGAGCTAAGCTCATGAAAAACAATAAATGCATTTCTGCTTTGCAACCAAAGCATGGCTGATTTTGGAAAAGGACGTAAAGGTAAAAGTAAGGGTTGCGATAAACATCATGACAATTATAGCAAAGACTCTTTGACACTTTCACAAATTTACCATAGGGAAGCTGTGCAGAAAGAGTTTGCACTCGCTACAGAGCTCAATAAACTCTTACGCTTCTGTAAGTTGTGGGTGATTTCCTGTCATTACTTTATGCAGCAAGTAAACTAGTGAGGTGTTCCCCTGAGTGCCCCCCATAGATGTGGTGCACTTCTGTTTCCACACCTTGATTTTCAGTGTTTGTCTTTTGTATGTGTTTTTTGTGTTGTTTAGGTATTTGCAGCTTGTTTGATGCTTGTGCGGCACTCTTTGTGGCTTCATTTGCGTCATGTTCTTACAGTAGCACTGACTGTATTTCTGCATTTGCTGCAGGTTTCTTCTTGTAAAAATCATTTGGATCATTTCAGATCTGTCAGCCCTGTCTTAAGACTTTTCCAGAAATCAGTGACCAGTGGATGCTTTTTATTTTGAACAACATTGCAATTGGGAGTAATTGGTTTGTTTCTGCCAACCACTTTATCTCAGACTGCTTCCACAGTGAGGGTCAGCACAAAGCCAGGTTCAACACTTACTCTCAAAAAGGATCTGTATCCAACAGTTTGTGCACCAACACCAGATGTGAGGTTGTTAAGGGTTTCTTTTTGTGATAATATAAGTTTATCTTTGGAAACATTTGTCTTAGTACTGGCATAGGTCTCTTTGGGACACTCATCCTATTTGCTTTGGTGTGTTTATACATCAGCATCTGTCTGCACCAGTCTCCACCATCAGCAGGGTCTCTCAAGAAGCAGGGATGGTTAAGCATGTGTGTTTTTGCATGTTGCATCACCGCAGAAGCAAGTTCAAATCTGCTACTGGAAGCTATGTTGGATAGAAAGATTACGTTTGTGTAACATAAATTCATATGTGACCTTTGAGGTGTTGAGCATGCTGTCTCCAGGTACTTGGCTTGGACATTTTGGCTTGAACTTCCTGCACAGAAGACACAAAGTTGAGAAACTAAAACACTAAAGTATTGCAGTGAATTATCACACTGTTTTTTTAAAAGTTTGTAATAAAAATATATGAAGCTTGTAATTGTCTTTCATCTTTTGCTGCAAAAGGTTTTCAAGATTGTTTAATGTCTGTCGAGTTTGACAAACAATCACAGTCGTGATTAGTTTTAGTCTCATAACTGTGCAAGAAAGTCCTTTTTGTGTTGTTAAATAAAAGCGTATGCCTACTTCTGTGAAGTTTTCTATGAAAAATACATATGAAATTGAAATACCTCTGCATTGATTTACCAATGAAGAGTAGTCTAAGTGCCTCTGTGGGCTTCTGTTTATCCAACAGGTCACAGTCATTTTCTGATGTGTCAGAAACCGAAATGCATTTAATGTTTAATTATCTCTGTTACATAATTTTTGCTATGAGGTGAAAATGTTTTGGATGCCTCTTTAATGAACTTTGCTGCATTCTTTTGTTATGCTCCTCTCCTAATCCATTAGAGAGCTTATCAAACAAGTGTTTGTTGGTTATGAAAAAGAAAAGCCTGTCAAACCAAGGATGCCTGTATAGTGGTAAAATCATGCAACTATGTACAAAAGCATTACTGTAGTCCTTGAAGTGGCATCCCAAAGTTCATCTCCCACCCTCTGCCCTTTGCTGTATGTCATTACTCTCTCTGCGTCTCTCTCTCTTTTTCTCTCTCTCTCAGTTATATTTAGTGAAGGCACAAAAAAGGAATAAGAATAATGCAAAAAAAAAAAAAAAAAAAACCTGCAAACTCAGTTACGTGCTTTTAGTTTGCAGCTTCAACACCTGCAGCAGAGTGGAGTTAAATACATGTTTTACAGCCATGAAAAAGTAGACATCAGTGGAGCTCTGACATGATGAGTTTCAACAGCAACAGATGACAAAAAGCAGTTCTTACTTCACCCTAAGTGAGCAGGAGATAATTGAGCTGTAACACGGTGAGTTAGAGTGTAATTTCAGAAACCAGCAGTAAAAGAGAGAGAAGCAGTGCGGGAGAAAAACACTGCTCAAGTCAATACACAAGTTTAAATGTAGTCTGATTATTCAATATTCAACAGTGCTGAAAATGAACCAAACTTTTTTTTTTTTTGTACATGCTATGCAGACAAGAAAGGCAAATATGATACATCTGAAAATAAAGAAAAAGAATAGTTGGAAAAAAAAACTCTTACTTGATCACACTGACTCACTTTGGCCTTTGACGCGTGTGTTCATGAAGCCCAAATGCATCATGTTTGTGACTGTTATTCTGAGCGATTGTAATAAGCAACAAGCCTGGAATGTAAGACAGATGTTTCATCTGTGCAAATATTGTAACTTTATATTCATATCGAGACAGTTTCATCTTATAATGGTACATTTATTAGCTCTATGAATGTGTCTGCAATGAGCAGATCCACAGCAATAATAACCTTGCAGTTCATTTTATTAAGGAGCCATCGAAAATGATTCAGCACATCAACTTCAGGGTAAAAGATG